TAATTAATAAGTGCTTCTCTGGGTGGCCGCCATTTCGTATAAACGAATGGCACCCATGGAGAGCATTCATATCCCGAAAGGATCCCAGGGAGGGGGAGGATCTTGAGATGTGTGTGGCCAATAAAGCGTTGTTGTACGTCCAGGACTGTGTGTCGTCCAGTTACTGGGGGGGGGAGAGGATGGGTCTCTTTATATCCTAAATGGTTCCTGTTCAGCTGAAGGAAGGGATATAGTACAGAGTGGTCAAAATCAAAATCGACACCAGAATGATGCAGGGCACCATTTGTGTATAGGTGTTTGTGACTCCTATATTGAGAGTACAAATGATTTCTGTAAATTTTCTTCACTGTTTAGTATGCCAGAGGGTTTAATAAAAGATGAAGTAACTTCTTGTGGCAACGATGCCTCTGCCACAAGCTTCTGGAGGAGCCTGCTGGCTAGCCTCCTGCCCAAGGACTATGGGCCATGTTTTAAAAGAAAATGTTTTTAAAAAGGTCTGTTACATGATCCTTGGGCAGGAGGCTAGCCAGATGGCTCCTCTGCCACACTTCTACTGCTACTCAACTGCTCAAAGTTTATCTTCGCGATTTCTAAAGCATATTTGACTACGTGAACAGAAGCTCTCATCAACTTTAGTGCTCACTTTACCAAGGCTATGTCTATATTGTGGGAACCAAGGGAAAAGTATCAGCAGATGACATCTGTGAGGAAGCTTCATGGTTCTTGGAAAAGACATTGTACATTGTCTCAATGTCAGGGTTTTTAGCAAAATAATTTGTAGCTATTTGGTAGGAGAGTCTTATCTTTGATTGTGTTGGCAAAATTAAACACTTCATGATTCCTGCTTTTCTTCCATTCCTGTAGCAAATCCCATATGTGATGCTGCCATAGTTGGCCAGGAAAACATACAATTTATTCAAAAATGTCCTTGTATTAATCTATCTTACTATAATATTCTTTTTTACTGGCAATTTCCCATGGCAGCAGGACCCGGCGCCACTGCTAGACGAACTAGGCAGCTGCATTCCCTTCCTGGTCTGACAGGAAGTTCTCACTGAGAGTTATGAACTGCTTCCTGTCCAGGGAGAGGGAAACAAACTCCTCTACCCCAGTCAGCGGCTCGGTCACGCTATGTGGAGGAGGGAGATGAACAGGGCGCAGGCTGAGGTGGGCACAAAAATCCCTTGTCAGTCAGACTGACAATTAATTTTTGCGCCCCTCGGCTTGCACTCCCAGCGCCCCCCTAGCCGCACGCACTGTACACAGGGACGGGGAGCGCCTCCCACTCTGCATAGGAGCGCCGGGTATCACGTGACCACCTGGTGCTCAGTGTGACTCAATACGCCCGCCGCCACCACTGGAGACTGAGAGGGCCCCCCCTTCCCTGCTATGTAAGTTAAAACAGCAGGGAGGGGGACCAACAGTGTGCAGGGGGGAGAGCAGAGCTGGCGTTACCATTAACTCAGGTGCCGGCTCTGTGAGGGAAAAAAAAGCTTTCTGCTCGAGCAGGAGAGGGAGAGAATATTATGAAAAAAAAGAGGTAGAGGGGGTGGGGGGAAGAATTATGAATGGATGGGGTAAAGGAGGGGGGATAATTAGTAATGGATGGGGCAGAGGAGGGGGGATAATTATTAATGGATGGGGCTGAGGGGGGATTATGAATGGAAGGGTTAGAGGGGAGGATTATGAATGGAAGGGGTAGAGGTGGGATTATGAATGGAAGGAGTGAGGAGAGAGAATTATGAATGGAGAGGGGGAGAGAATTATGAATAGTAGGGGTAGAGGGGGAGAATTATGAATGGATGGGGTGGGGCGGAGAATTATGAATAGAAGGGGTAGAGGGGGAAATTATAAATGTCTCTGTGTTAATGTATGTATGTCTCTGTGTGCATGTATGTGTCTCTCTATGTACGCATGTATGTCTCTCTCTGTATGCCTGTGTATGTCTGCATGCCTTTACGTCTTTGTATGTATATTTCTGTATGCCTGTATGTATGTGTCTGTATGAATGTATGTCTGCATGTCTCTGTATCCCTGTATGTCTCTGTATGTGTGCACAGTGGTGGATCCTGGTTTTGTGATGACAAAGCTCAGGCACCCCCTACACCCTGCCCCGCCTTCTAAATACACACACACACACACTCACTGATAGACACATATACATTCAGTGTCAGACACACACTTTCACTGACAGACACGCGTACACTCACACTAACAGACATGCATACACACTCACTAACAGACACACATATACTAACACACTCCCTGACACACACACACACTAACAGACACACACACACACACACACTCACTAACAGACACACACACATATAGTAACACACTCCCTAACAGACACACACTATAACACACACACACACATTAACAGACACACACACTCACTAACAGACACACACACTCACAAACAGACACTCACATTTTAAAAAAAAATCAATCCCCCCAGCCTCCTTACCTTTCCCTGGGGTCCAGTGGGGCTGCTGGACAGCCGGTCACTGCAGTCGGCGAGGGAGCACTAATCTTCTTGTTCAGCTCCCTCGCGCACCGCGTAGTGATGTCGGAGCCGGAGCAGGAGGATTAGTGCTCCCTCGCCGCCCGCCCGGAAAGTGCCGCCGCTGCCAGCCTGGGGGCCCTGAGGTGGCCAGCAGCTTTTTTTTGCCGCCCCCCCAGAAAGTGCCACCCAAGGCAAATGCTTTGTTTGCCTCGGGGTAAACACACCCCTGTGTGTGCATGTCTCTGCCTGTATATCTCCGTGTGCCTGTGTCTGTATGTCTCCGTGTAACTGTTTCTGTATGTCTGTATGTCTCTGCATGTGTGTGTATATGTCTCTCTGTGTCTGTCAGTTTACCTGTATGACGTTGTTTGATTGTGTGCTTTAAAAAAACAATGTCTGTGTGCCTCTATGATTGTGTAAGTATGTATGTATTTTTGCCTGCATATCTATGTCTACATGGCTTGGAAGAAAAGACACACAAAGGGATCTGGAGGGGAGGGACACTCACCTGAACATGCATAATTAGGGTGATGCTGGGGGCCAATTTATACAATTAAAAAGAGAAAATCCAGCGCACGCTCTTTTCCACTAAACAGCAACTTCGGTGCTGACAGATTTTTTTTGTTTTTGAAAAACACCTAATCTAGGCAAAAAATAATGGGTTTAGTTTTTTAAAAACACCTAATCTAGGCATTATTTTTTGCCTATATTAGGTGTTTTTAAAAAAATGAAAATAATTTGTCAGCACCGAAGTTGCTGTTTAGTGGATAAGGGAGTGCTCTGGATTTTCTCTTTTTTATTGTATAAATTGGCTCCCAGCAGCACCCTATTTATGCATATTCAGGTGAGTGCAGCCAGCCCCCTGGTTTCGGCACTAATATGGTGTGATGTACCCTGTGTTATGCTTGTAAAAATGTGTGATGTGCCTGTGTTAGGCTTGCAGTATGGTGACAAGCATTCCACTGGCACATCACCATCATCACCAAAGTGTAAATATATATTTGTGATTTAAAGCTGATAACATAGTCATTAGAGCAGTGGTTCCCAAACCAGTCCTCATGGCCCATCAACAGTACAGGATTGATGTATTTCCCTGTTTTTATTCCAGTGGAGATAAACTAACAAAATCTGCACTGGTGCTGGGTCTTGAGGACTGGTTTGGGAAACGCTGCATTAGAGCAACCCCTATCATTGGCATTATTGGGAAAGCATTGTATAAGAAGATATGCGATTTCCTGTGCACTGGCAGGACTCAGGAACCTTCGATTCCTCTTTATTCACTTTTTATGGGACATGGAGGATGAGGAAACAAAATATAATGCTAGATTTATTTCTTTAGCTTCCCTTTATATGGTGGAAAACTTTGATCTAAAAAAAATACGTTTTTGTTTTTTCATGATGGGGGCGCCGATATGGTTCCTCGCCAAGGGCGCTGGAGACCCTAGGTACGCCTCTGCTGAGGGGGGCCAAAGAGACAGAAGAGATGAGGGGACAAAGATATACACAGAGGGGCTTGGTGGGACAAAGTGACCCACTAAAGTGCTCGGGGGAAAGATGCACATAGAGGGCCTGAGGAAGGGCATAAAAAGTCACACAAAGTTGGCAAATTTTTATGTATGGAGGTGGAGGGGGAGGTGCACGTAGCTGGTCTTGTTTAGGGTGCAATATTCTATCCTGAATGGTTATATTTAGGAAAACAACATGTGATGCTGCCATGGTAAATAGCAAGGAAAAGAAAGAGTCTAACAGCAAGTTGGATTTAGATTCTGTTTTATGAATAAATAGAGATATGAATAGAAAGTGGAGACACGAGGGAGCTTCTAGATGTATCTTTTTGAAAATGCACAATAAATATAAAACAATATCAATACAAGTTTATGATATATAGAGGAAAGCACTACTAAAAAAAATCAATGAATGCGAGAAGTGTACTCTGCCAGTTTCCTGAAAATGAGTGTGGATCAGGTTAAAATAATACTGAACAGACCCTTATCGGTGTTTACAGAACACAAACAAAACCCAGGCTTATTCACTAAAGTATGAATCTCAAATTTCAGGTCAGTACAGACCCAATGTAAAAAAAACAGCTATGTTTTTACTTCGTCCTTTTGGCCTTAAATGTGCAAGATTAATTGGAATTCCCCACAATTCACATTTTATTTAATAACCCTGAATGGATAAAAAGCACATTTCTGTATGAGACCAGCATCCAGCCAGGTATGCCAGGCCTCATAAGGAAAGTGTGACTGCGGCTGATAACGCTGCAGGTGATAAGGTCTCCACCAGCACCACCACACTTTCTCTACACCGTGCAGGAAATCAGTGAGTTTCCATAAGCGGATGTGACACAGGAGAACAGCAGCAGAGAGCCTGCTAAGGGCGTAACCCGGCAGTAGCCCATCTCCCTGGATAGACCAGCCGCTCTTCCAATCACTCCGCTGGACAACTCCCTCTACTCAATCAGGTATGCAGGGTAACTGCGGGCGGAAACGCCCACTCGGTTACGTCAGACTCAAACAACCAGGGCTCGGAGACACGGATGGGCCAATGACTGCTCTGGGCGTATTCGAAAAAGCCTTGCCGCCGAATGATTGACAACTAGGGGGCCCCTCCCTCTCAGCCAGCAAAGAAAGATTATGAACCGGGGCTGGTGGGCGGGCTCGGAGAGTTGACTGACACATCCTTCGGCCAATCGCCTCTCCTCTTCGACTTGCAGGGCCCTGGGAGAAAGCCACCCCCGCCTCGTTGTGTGGCGCGGCCGGCGGGAGAGGTGGGATCCTTTAGGCAGCATCCCCCCCCCCTTCCTCACTACAGCCTGCGAGAATAGAGGCTGCTACCGCAGGTACAACCAGGCCGCGAGCAGCGTTATCAATGCCCGTCCGGGCGCGGTGTCCGCAGCGGGCTCGGTGACGGCCGCTTCCCTCTCGTGAGCATCCCAGCCGCGTCCGGCGCTTTGTCTCCAACCAGGGCGGGTGAGGCGGAGACACGAGTGAAGGAGGAGGGAAAAGGGTATCGACCCCCCTCCCTTACCTCCATGGTGGAGGTATCCGAGGGTACGACGCAGGTATAGGGGGTATGTATGGAGGCTAGGCCGGCTCCCCGGGCGCTCACTGATATCATTATATTATTATTATTATTATATATTATTATTACATTATATATTATTATTATATGTGGGGAGGCACGTCCCCCCCGCCTGCCTCCCCCTCTCCCTGCCTGCCCAGGGCACGGCGAGCAGCACTGACTGAGGGCTCTGACCATCACCGGAGGATAGTCACATTGATATATTGTTCGGGGCTGATAACGCGTGGGAGAGCCCAGCTCGCACAAAACAACACAATGTGAAACGAACGGTTTGGAAAATGGTGGTTGGTGTCAGCCCAGGAGATACATGTATCTATTCCAGTGTGAGACTGGGTCTACTACAGCCAGTAATGCAGGAGGGTCCTCATGGGGGTCAGTGTACTCTGCCAAGCATTGGGGACCTACAACAACCATTTATTATATATATAGATATCTATCGATTTGTTGCTGGGTTATATTTGTAAATATTGTACATTGTTCTTGGAGTATACTAACAACCTTAGGTTGGGCATAGCATGGCTAATGCTGCCATACTTATTGGGTGCACCATTTGGCTAACATTTCTGAGATTACCACAATGTATCAATGTATTACTTGCTGGGCAACCCGGGCTGGATGCGTGCTGGCTAGTGGCCATTGGATACGTGCTGGCAAAATATGTCCACTTTATGGCTGACTTGATAGTAAACACTTAAGTGTCTGTCTTAATATTTTGTGCCTGCACACTCCCAATATCAGTGTAGTATGTATCATCATGCCTCATCACTAGCAGAAGTGGGTGCATGCTGGCCAGACTTGCCATGCCCATGGTAAATGCGTTAACCTTTTCTTTTTTTTGTCTGCTGGGTAATGCTTGTTGTTATATTAACTTCTTGCTTGGAATTTATCAATGCACTTCATTTGCAGTGTTAGTCTGATATACAAGTGTGGAGCTCTAAGATGGCTCAGTGGAAATCTCAGTAAGTGTTACAGTTGCAACCTTGCTCTTTTTTTACATAAAATATGTGGTTCACTGTACACAAAGTTTTCCAGCATGCATGCAACAAGATATGTGAATATCTCAAGAGATTGCTTTATACTACAACATTAAGTTCATAATATGAATTCTAACAGATGCATTTAGTACATTGCAATGGTATCTTATAACTCAATTTTAAAAGCTAAAAGAACAATCATTAATATTTATAGTCTGAACAGGTTTCCTGGCTCAATAAAACCGTTACATTAAAGTCTGAGATAATCTATATAGCATAAATATTGATGTCTGTATCCCACTTTTGTTTATGCAAAATTGACCAACCCATATTACGTCTGAGGCTACTTATTAGTCAGCGTGCCAACAATTCTCAAGGAGGAATGAATTATGGATCTATATTTTAAATGTCTTCTCGCGAACGTGAAAATAGCTATGGTGTGTGTGTCTATTGCTACTTTTAATATAAAAAAAAAAATATATATATATATATATATATATATATATATAACATTACACAAGCATCACAGGTGCACAAATAACTGTTGTATAGCCAAAACTTTAATGTATGCTATTAAATGTAAACCTCAATGTGTGCATGTATATTACAAATACTAGAATCCTTCAACTGCAATCTGTGCAGTTGCATCCATAGGATAATTTTTTTTTTTTTTTTTTCTCTCAAATGTTTTTCCCTAAAATAGCACTAGGGTGCCCTTTATTCTTTTTGTATACCTGAGTAATGCACAACAACTATAACGACAAATCTTGATTGCAGAATAGTGCAACATGTGCCATCACGTAACTTCGACTATGAAGAGGAGGGAAGAAAACCCACAAAACTTTTTACATCATCTCCTTTGCTTGGTTTTCTAGGAGTGTAATCGTATAAGAAAGTTGAGAATGCACTACATATTCCTAAGAGACATGCACTGTTTGAGTGAAGATTTACTCTGTTAAATATTGCCGCTTACTTCTGTTTTTTTTTATTTTATTTTTTTTTTATTTTTTTGTACTTATTTTTTATTTTTATCTTTTTTAAAGAAATCAGAGGAAGTAAGCCTTTAACTGGCTTGGATATCTGTGATCTTTACCAAGTTCCATTGTCAACTCAATGAAAGGTAAGTTACATTGGTGCCTGTTTTTTTTTTTTATTTTTTTTTTATTTTTTTTTCTTCTCTCTTCCCATATTAGGATTTACTATTGATTTCCTACACTGGTGTTCACCTCACATTGATTTATGACAATTTAAAACACTGCAAATAAGATATAAGTTAACATCTTTGCTGTATATCTTCCTGTAGAGAGCTCTTTCTCAACCAGGAAGTCCTAAAACCTGATATGTTTTGTGAGAGAGATCTGGTTGGTTATTTTATCTCAACAGCTTTCTGGTTGCTCATGAAGTAAGTAGCAAAATGGTGAATATCTGTTTTCTCTAGAAGAAATTAAAATTTCAGTGTAATCAGAATTCTGAAGCAACATCTCAATGGCAAAGGTTAGGCAAAATTAGCTTATTTGGGGGGAAATTTAATCTCAAACTTTCCATTTTGATGTTTGGATTTTATCCACGCTGGTTAACTCGTCTTGGTATTTTAATCTAAAATTTTAATTTCACATTGAATTTCCAGCAATTCACATTTTTGTGAATAACTGATGTATCTTCCAAAAGTTACCAATTTTAAAGGGAACTTGTTATGGGCAAAACTACTTTTGCTCTTAAAAACAAAATAATTTCATTTATACATTGTACTAACTGGTTTGCTAGCAAATGTATAGATTGGGGAAAAATACCCTATTTTAATTTATTTTTGTTAAAACCAGTGCTCTCCCAGTTCTCAATCAATTCTTTGGCATATACTTTATGCTGAATAATTGAGGGAGAGCAAAAGAGTCCACCCACAGACAATCTTTCTGCTCTTCACATATGGCAACAGCACACACGCATCAGTTGCTATGGAACGGTGTGACATGACATTACTCTGTTCAGACATCTGCGTTGTGGAGGTTTTCCCTGCTTGGGAATATGTCCTTAAGAAGGGCACATTAAAGGACCACTATAGTGCCAGGAAAACATACTCGTTTTCCTGGCACTATAGTGCCCTGAGGGTGCCCCCACCCTCAGGGACCCCCTCCCGCCGGGCTCTGGAGAGAGGAAGGGGTTAAACACTTACCTTTCTCCAGCGCCGGGCGGGAAGCTGTACTCCTCCTCTCCTCCTTGCTCGCGACGTCATCGGCTGAATGCGCATGCGCGGCAGGAGCCGCGCGCGCATTCAGCCGGTCGCATAGGAAAGCATTTACAATGCTTTCCTATGGATGCTTGCGTGCTCTCACTGTGATTTTCACAGTGAGAAGCATGCAAGCGCCTCTAGCAGCTGTCAATGAGACAGCCTCTGGAGGCTGGATTAACCCTCAGTATAAACATAGCAGTTTCTCTGAAACTGCTATGTTTATTAAAAAAAAAAGGGGTTAATCCTAGAGGGACCTGGCACCCAGACCACTTCATAAAGCTGAAGTGGTTTGGGTGCCTAGAGTGGTCCTTTAATGAAGAGACCAGAAGAGAAATGCCTACCATTGTATGCATCATGCGATAAAGGGTCAGGTAAGTCATTGCATCCTTTAATACCTTGTGAAAATAAAGTGTAGGTTAATTAACATTTTTCACTCTCTTCTTAAAGGAGCACAATAGTATTTGGAATACTATTTACATGTTTGGACCCAACTAATTTTAAGCATTAAAACTCTTGCCTTAATATTTCTGACGTGCTGGTATCTTTGCTGTCTTCCCGCCTTTTATCTGTGATCATCAGTTTTGATCCTCATTGAGTCCACTGCATTTTTATGGGCAGTTTTCAGTGTCTCCATGCGTATCTATATTCAGAAAAGGCAACATTTACACTGCTCAGCCTGCAGGGATAGGCTATTTGCTTGAGAAGCACTGAATTAAGCTGTAGTTGTTCTGGTGTCTATAGTGTCCCTTTAAACCATCGGAAAGAAGTGCAATTTTATGTTGGCCTTTTTGTATAGAATACATTGTTTTTGTACATTATCTGAGTTTTAGATAAGCGAAACATTGTACGATATGGATTCTCCACAGAGCCAATTCCTTGCAACTGTCACTGGTGTCGATGAGGGATTGACACTTCTTGATGTTGGTTGCTCCACCCAATGTCAAGAAGTGTTAAGTGAAGGAAAAATACTGAGACAATGAAGTCCCTACTTTTGTTTCAGTATAGCTTTTGACTTCAGTGAAATTCCAGTACATTCAATCAGTATTTCATGGAGTATATCTTTTTTTTATAAAATACTCATTTTGTGATATTTCTGCTTTAATTGTTTTTTCTTCCTTTTAATTCTTGAGTATTGTCTGTGATTTCTCCCCAAACTCCACCACTCTTTTTATTTATTTTCCTGCCCTCTCTTGCAGGGTATAGCACTTTTGCTCTGTGCACACTGCCCAGTTGTTTTTTTTTACATGTTAAAGGACCACTATAGGCTCCCAGACCACTTCAGCTCAATGAAGTGGTCTGGGTGCCAGGTCCCTCTCTGGTTAACCCTGCCTGCTGTAAACATAACCGTTTCAGAGAAACTGCTATGGTTACATTAGGGTTAATCCAGCCTCTAGTGGTTGTCTCATTGACAGCCGGTAGAGGTGCTTCCGTGATTTTCAGTGAGAAGATGCCAGCGATGACGACCGAAGGAGGAGGAAAGTCCCCAGTGCCGAGGGAGCCGGGCGCTGGAGAAAGGTGAGTGTTTAACCCCTTTCCTCCCCGTAGAGCCTGGCGGGAGTGGGACCCTGAGGGTGGGGGCACTATAGTGCCAGGAAAACAAGTTTTGTTTTCCTGGCCCTATAGTGGTCCTTTAAGTGCTTAGGTTTTGGCAAAAAAACTAAACAGAAAAAACCTAAATACTAGTAAGAAGACACTCTTCACAATATGTCTGTGTTCATCTCTCCACTAATTGCATGCTACTTGGGCAAAACAGAAGTTTTGACTCCAAACACACTTTACTAGCTGTAATCACTTTCCAGATATTCAGGCATGAGGCCTCTGTGGAACCAGAACTGAAGTGTCTATGCTCCTACCCACCTCCCTATTTCTATTGGTTCAGTGCTCTTATCTAAGTGGCCATCTTGGTGAATGGAGGAACAATGGATAGGCTGTTCTTACTGTACAGAAAATCCAGATGCTTGCTAAGCATAAAATTGTGTTGACAGACTAATGCAGAAACCAATGCACAGGGTCTTCTGGAGAAGTATATTCCCCTATAGATTTCCAGATAATGTGCTGCAGTGCCCACGCACGCACTGATCTGCATTAGTTCCTGAAAATGAGACTTATTCAAATTCCAAATGGATTCATTTGCTAGCATTCAGCCATGTCTCGGGCTTCTAATTGTATATAAAACCATTGCACTGGAGAGCAACAGCCACCCCAACTATATTTTAAGAATATACTGTAATATATTTGAAGCCAATGGATAAGTTGTCAGAAAATGGAAATCACAAAACTGTTTGCATCTAAAGAACAGAACTTCCTGTGCAGTTGAAAGAGAAGGAAATCCACTGAAATATTGGTAGTCACATGGCACCAAAGCACCCATTTTGTCTGTTTGAAGTATTCATAAATTAACTTGCAATAGGTGTGGCAACCTCGTCTGGGGAAAACAAAGGTTTCTTAGCTGTAATATGTGAAAGACACATGAAGCATGGAATGGAGAGTAAGTCCTAATGGAGATCTATTTGGAATGCACAGCTATGTCTGCCATAATTTACGTGTAAGAGATCTAGTCGGGTTAAAAGAAGCTAATAAATACTGTATCTATAGAATAGTGTGACAACTTTTTTTGCTGCTTAAAGGACTACTATAGTGCCAGGAAAACAAACTTGTTTTTGTGGCACTATAAGGACATTAGGTCCCCCCACCCGCTGGGCTGAAGAGGTTAAAACCCTTTCAGCCAATTACCTTTCTCCAGCGCCGGGCTCCCTCGGTGCTGGGGAACTCCTCCGACGTCTGCGTCGAATGCGTATGCGCGGCAAGAGCTGCACGCACATTCAAACCGCCCATAGGAAAGAATTACTCAATGCTTTCCTATGGACGTCAACGTCTTCTCGCTGTGATTATCACAGTGAGAATTGTGGAAGCGGCCTCTAGTGGCTATCAGTGAGACAGCCACTAGAGGCTGGATTAACCCTCAGTGAAGCATAGCAGTTTCTCTGAAACGGTTTTCAGCTGCAGGGTTAAAACTAGACGGACCTGGCACCCAGACCATTTCATTGAGCTGAAGTGGTCTGGGTGCCCATAGTGGTCCTTTAATAACTTAACCCAAGTACTCTGCACATTTACAGCAAGAGTCTTTGTGCTGAACAACTCGTTGGCCAACCTGTAGTCTTTTAATCATGCTATTAAGCTCTTAAACTGTATGGTTTGGTTTCAGGTCAGTTGAACAAAGTTGTTTAGTTTACACAAACTAGCACTGCTGCATTTGTTGGGGCTGTGAAAGTAGATATTTATATAAAAAGAATACTGGGTTTTTGTTGGTATTGCCCCACCCCCTTCACACCGAGAGAAAGGGATCAGAGTTAACTAACCATGGCTTTATGTAAACCTGATCAACATTTTTGATAAGTGGAAATGGAGCCCAAAACTCTGTTTCATAACTGCTAATTTGGACTAAAGTGTGTATGGTGCTTAGGATGCCCCTTTAATCTTTGTTACTTAGGATGGATGATATGGGTCATTGAAGAGTTATATTCAGATTGATCTATCCCCCATCCATATCTGGAGCTTCTTAAAATGATTTAATGTTCACTCCATCCTCATGTTTCCCAAGAAGATGCTTTGCGCCTCATGAAGGGTGAAACTTCTTTGCAGGGTATTGTGATACACATTCTTCTACTCTGCAACATCCCCTCTCTAGCTGATTGCACAGATACCTGCACGTTTGTAAATAGACTCTGCCATTGTAATTCATGGAGAATTAATAAATATTACCCTTGTGAACAAATGGGAATACTCTGTACAGTTATTCAGTTAATTGTGCAAGTAACTAAATTATTGTGACAAAATAGCCTGACATACTGTTGCTTATATTCTGGGTGTGCTTCCTTATCTGAAGTTCTGAAACTGCCCTAGAATGCATTTGCGGATATGCCTGATGATTTCTTATGAAGTCATGTTTCATGAATACATAAAAGCTCTTGATTACCTACTTGATTTTTGTTTGAGTTGTACTTCCAACCAAGCAGCTTAAAGGTAGCCGAACCTTTAGAACAGGGGGTAAGCCTCGAGATGAGCTAAAAATAGGTATTCACTTATGTGTGTTCTAAAATAATTCTCAGGCTATAATACATGTAATCTTTAAAAATAAATATATATATATAATCTCATCTCTATTCTTAAAACAGTGTAGCCAGATGTGAGCAGAAAATATGTAATTTGTAAGGAATGTAATTATTTGTAAGTTCCTGTGAATTCAAAATAATTTTTTTTTTACATTTTAATGAGGTAACTGAAATATTTGAAACCATTTCTCTTATCAGATTTGTTGGACAGCACCTTTCCTTTGCGTATGTTTTAGCCGTGGGAGTCAACAAGGAAGGTTTGAAGAAAGTGAGGCGGGAGGGGGGGGAGGCTCTCAGCCCTGTCCTCCTCCTCCCAGGGGTGCAGCCAATCGTGTCTTCGGACCCCCGCACCTGGAGAGTGGATGTGGGTTTGTCATGAGTCCGGCCGGCTGCTCCCATGTGAACAGCTTTAAGGTGGATAATTGGAAGCAGAACCTGCGTGTGATTTACCAGTGTTTTGTCTGGAGTGGGACTCCAGAAACTCGAAAAAGGAAGGTAAGTGTATTTTACATCAAAATACCATTTTGATTAATTCAACATAATTCTGTACATTTTTTGTTAAAAACAAGATAATCAAAGTATTAATGGGTGCATGCAACTATAAATTTCTAATCTGTGGCTGCATATTTTAAATGCAGGTAACTGTTTCTCAGTCATGGTATAAAGGAAAGTAGTGGTTCTGAAGCTAAAACAGGAGTTTAATGCTTTCATTGAATACAATAATATAGAAAACATAACTTTTTTTTCCTCACAGAACCAAATACCATCCACTTGCAAATATGACCTATGTATCAAAACAGTCACAAACTGCAAAAACAACTTGCACTGTGTAACCATCCATTTGTCTTTCTTCCAACAATGTACATTTCTCATAAACACACATAATGCCAATGGGCTACTGCAAGAGGGCATTTATTCTATAGATCTGTTATTGCTGAAAATGTCATAAGCCCCCGTTCAAATTGCTGAGCAAATGACTGGCTGAGAGGATAGCGCCACTTCCTGGCTTCCCGTTTTGTTTGGAGCTGGAAATCTATGGATTTGATGAGAGAACCATGTTAGTAGAAATTTTCCCCCTCTTTTGCAATGAATGTGTCATCTCTGGCAAAAGGTTTTCTTTTCAGTCTGTTTAACATTTTATAAATGTACGTTAAAGGAACACTGTAGTGCCAGGGAAAACAAAGTTTAAAAGCCCTTTCTGTCACCTGGGTCTGGCGCCAATATTCCTTGGCGCTGGCTCGGGTCCGCCTCCGCTCCTCGTCAGATGTACTCCACAAAGCGAATTATTGCAGATATTTTTTTATTTTTTTTTAAAACTGTAATAATTAGCTTGGCAGGATTAAGGGACCTGGGTGCCTATAGTGTCCCTTTAATTACTTGCTCATGGTTCAGTTTAATACTGAGTTTTAGAATTGCAAGCTTAAACCACTGTCCAGTCCACAGTATTTGGAAAGTAGTTAATCTTTCAATTCTAATAATTTTGTGTGGGTTTTTGGTGGTGGGGGGGTTTACAATATGTCCATAATCCAGTGGCAAGATGGTCTGACTGCTGTAGCTGTGCCTGCCTTTAGCAGCCAAATGTATGCTCTAAAAGCTCCTCTCTTGAAGACAATACTAAAATAAGGCAGTGGGAACATGCGGTTATCTTGTAAAGCACTTTAAAAGCTAAAGTGTTTTTATGGGGTTGTGTGCCCTTTTAAAGTAATATGGTGTTTTGGATGCTTAACTTTATCAACTATGCCATTCCATCATTAGTGTGGCTGTAGCTATGGCACTTGCTGTTTCTGGTTCAGCAGACTGACAGTGCCAGGATTGCTGGCTATAGTGATTCGACAAAAGAAGGAAAACAATATGTAAACTAATGAGGCATTATTAGGATACTATATGTACCAACATCAGCTTGTGTATTTAGTTGTTAAAAGGCTAATATTGATAACTACAAAACAATCTCGTAGACTCTGAAAGGCCACTAAAGGAAGAATGTCAGAGCACAACTTCAAAGGGGCTTACTACAAGATCCATACCACCGGTAAGTCTTAAAGCCAGACATGGGTTACTGTATGCAAGTATAGTAATTGTGGAACAAAGAGTAGGTCAACCTTCTCTATTCATTACTACCTATGACTAGTATTAAGAAACAAGCATGGTGCATAATCCAAAGTATAGACCTCATAGAGACAATGTGGCATACACAGGAACTGGCTCGCTTACCTTTTGAATTTTCTCCTCGCATCTGCAGCTTGATGCTATTGAGCGGTAAAGAAAATGGGATGTGATGCCTGTTTATTGCTAAAGTGTGTTTTAATGTTTTTTCAGGCCTAAAAAGGGAAATGGTTCAAGGGGGCCACTTACCTTACCTGAACAAACATACCTTTCCTTTGCCATAGATTGGCCTGGATGAGCATACACAATGAAGAGGACTTGTGCACAGTTAAATTAATACTGTTGTAAACAAATAGTAATACGAAAGTCAATTTGGAAGACTTTCCAATTCTCTTATAATCACTGCTCTATTTTGTTGTATACATGTTTACAACTTGTTTTTCATTGATATTCGATTTGGTAAATATTGCCCGATGAGCTACATAGTCCAGGCAGTCTTTGATAATAAAAATGCTTGCAACCAAGCACTAAATATAACTGCTTTTGGTGAAGACTGAGATCCTCAAAGAGCTGGTTCTCTAAAGCTGCATGTACACACACACAATTTCCTTTTTTTCTTTCTTTTTTTTTAATATTTTTATTATAACAGAGGGTTGTTACAGATAAAGACAACAGTAATGCCGACAGTTTACAGTACTTGCGAGCATATGAATATCAAAATGTACACACTAACTTACATGTACCATTAAACAATGTGTCATACTTATGGAATGCTGTATTCATATTTTAATGGTGTAGTCTAGGTGTAGTTCAAAATCTTTAATTGATGAGTAAAAATTGACCCCTGGCAAGAAAGAATAAGCCGCATAACAGATATTGGCACTATTTATTAGAAAATCCAGGCAATGCTATGTGAAGGACAGATGCACTGAGGTGTGCTTTAGTGGACTTGGTGCACGTGTGCCAGAGTTGTGCATTACTGTATACTAAACAAATGCTTCTTAAGTGATGGCACCAAATAACTGGTAGACAACTCCGTGTTGGCAACCGGGAGGACAAGTTCTTCATGTCATTTGTGGTCTGAGTGCCAAATATGACACATTTTCATCAAAAACGGCAGGCCTGTTCAGACTTTACTATTCAATCACAGACTTCCCAATGCAGCTCAATAAGAAATCTTTGCAAAGAGGTGCTCTGGGCAATTGCTTCTTATTGAGTTCAGTGCAAATAGGCTAACCAAACCAGGAAGTGACAGGACCTGTTGGCTGCTTGAAAATCCAGGTCGTGGGTTAACCAGTTTCATTTATAAGTGTCAGTTTCTATTGAAATCTGCACTATCCAAAATGAAATAAATAGGACACACTCTTCACACACACAGCTTTTCAGCAAGCTAAAGTGCTTTAGGGTTTTGGAGTGTCTCTTTAACATTTAAGTTGGGGGCATGACAAATCCCAACTGCCAGGTCACGAATGGCAACTAGAAATTCCGCCCTGGCGCCCAGTATTTGTCTGCCCTTTAGAAAACAGCCGTTGCGGGGAACTTTGAAGTCTGCGCACGAGGGAGCACTAAAGTTACTCTCTGCTCCCTCATGCGTTTAGTGATACCAGATCCGAAATATGACGTCACTCTGGCCCCGGCATCACTGCAGAGAGCACGCAGTGGCGAAGAGAGGAACTGCAGAAAAATTATAGAGTGCAGCACACTGGACCTCAGGGAAAGATCAACTCTACTCTCCCAAAGGTAGGGAGGCTGGATGGACTTCAAAGGGACTCTCCAGTGTCAGGAAAACAATCCGTTTTCCTGGCACTGCAGGCCCCTTCTCCCTCCCACCACCCATCCCCGGGTTGCTGAAGGGGTAAAAACCCCTTAAGTGACTTACCGGAGACCCTCGGTGGTTTTGGGTCGCCGCCGCTCCTCCCCTTCATCAAGTCGGCCGGGGGGGGGACACAACTGAGCACGCTCATTAGAGTTCTCCATAGGAAAGCATTGAAAATCGATGCTTTCCTATGGGGAATTGAGCGACGCTGGAGGCCCTCACACAGTGTGAGGACGTCCAGCGACGCTCTAGCACAGAAAACCTGCTATGAAGCAGGAAGTGCCCTCTAGTGGCTGTCTGGTAGACAGCCACTAGAGGAGGCGTTAACCCTGCAAGGTAAATATTGCAGTTTATGAAAACTGCAATAATTACAGTTGCATTGTTAAGGGTAGTGGGAGTTGGCACCCAGACCACTCCAATGGGCAGAAGTGGTCTGGGTGCCTGGAGTGTCCCTTTAATAAAAAAAATGTAAATGTAATTTGTTGGTGTGTGTGAGAAAATGTCTTGGGTACCTTCCCCCTCTAATCGCATGATAAAGGTGTTTTTACTCGCTGTTTTTTTTTTTTTTTTCATACACAGTGCCAGTTTTGCTGTGGCTGGTACCATCTCCATGGCTGAGGTGATTAATCTTTGTTCTCCCCTAAGCCAATGCTTTCCCATATAAAATTATTGGGAGGATATTACTGCAAAACACAGCAGCGTGCCAGTCAGCATCTCCTCATAGAGATGCATTGAATTAATGCATCTCTATGAGGAACATTCAGCACCTCCATGCACAGCATGCAGCTCTGATTTAGGACTCTAATGGCCATCTAGGTGACTGTCACTAGATGTTACTAAACAGCAATGTAAACTCTGCCTTTTCACACATTAAGCTGTAGTGGTTCTGGTGACTAGTGTGCCTTTTTAAGAATTGCATTTTTCTTGTTGAAAATGAAACTTTAATAGTTTCTCTTTTTTTTTTTTTTTTTCCTTGGATTCCAAGCTCTGATTTATGTAGACTCCCCCATGTGTAAGTCTGGCTGCTCGACAATATTTGAACATTTCTATAAACAGCAGCAATAGTGTCAGCGCATGCACTCTGCAGACCAGTGGTGGCCCATAGCACGTAATTCTCCAGAAATGTACATATTTTTCAGAAACATTACACTTAAAGGGTGGCAAGTAATAGGCTGAGAACATCATTTGAGCCTCTACCTATCGCTGCTCAGACAATCATTGCTTAACACTTGAAGGACTCTACTATAGTTTATTGTTCTGGTGCGTATAATCATTCCCTTCAGGCTTTTTGCAGTAAACACTTTTTGAGAAAAGGCATTTTTTACATTAGAGCCTAGGGATACCTTCACTGACCACTTCTCAGATGGCTACTAGCGGTGCTTTCTGGGGCAGCAGCACTGACACTCAGTGTCTCCACCTTCTGCATGGTGAAATTGCATTCATTCAATGCATCTCTCTGAGGAGATGCTTATATGGCTAAGTCTGTGTTTGGCTTGTGCTGGGTCTGCCACTGATATGCCTCCTTGACAAGCTCAGCCAATCCAAGCATTGCGATTTGCTCAGATCATCACTTCTGATGTCAGCCAGTAATGCAGACTGGGGAGGGGGTGGGGGGGGGAATGGTGCTAGATAGTTTTTAATGCTATATGGTCATGAATACATATTTGTAGTGTTTCTTTAAAGGCTCAGGTGGACTCCATAAAACATGTATTACCATAGCTGCATTCCCCCTCTTTGTTTTTCTGAATGGGACATTTTAGGATCTTGAACTATGACTGTACATGGGCTTTGCACTTGTACTTTTCTCTTGTATAACTTGCCTATTCACTGATCATAACCAGCTTTTGACAGAATTCTAAAAAAATAAACCCTTGGATTGGGGGAAGAGTCACAAAGACACCATCCACAATACATGACTATCAATAAGCAACAATGACAACGGCGGCAATTAAAGCAGCTCTGCAAAATAGGAAAAGACCAATGGTGACCTCTCCTTTTAATGCGCCGCCATATACTTCTTTATTCAACTCCTGATGCTACCACCTCCCGGAGCGTACATCAGTGCACTGAGGTTCCTGCGGGAGCCTTGATGGACAATATACTCCGCCATCCTCATTGTGGAATTGAGTTGACTGCAGTAGCTCTGCTTTTTGTCAATCGTAGGAAAAATGCACAAGGAAGTATTTCCTACTTTACTTTGTGCATCTCCTGACTGAGTTGGAATTTTATTAAAAATGCCAAAACTATCACTGTGAGTAGTAGGGGCTATAATATATGGAGCCTCAGTTTGTGTGTGTGTGTGTGTGTGTGTGTGTGTATATGTGTGTGTGTGTGTGTGTGTGTGTGTGTGTATATGGAGAGAGAGAGAGAGAGAGAGAGTGAGTGTAAAGGGAGCACACTTGGACTTTTTCTTAGTGGGGAAAAAAGTACTTTAATGTATCATCAAATAATACATATTCTGTGCAAACAAATCGACGTTTCGACCCTCCTGGGGTCTTTATCAAGATCACAGTGAGACAATAATACCTATAACAATATATACATGTAAGTGAAATAAAGCTTACCAATTAGGTGATCGGACAGCCGGCGGGCTGAAGAACACGGAAGTGAGGAACCCACGTGGGAGCGTGCATGTGATGTACGTAGACGTGCATGTAACCGGGTTGCTAGGCAACCTTACAAACAGTGCATATACTTCTGTTACAAACGTGTGTGTGTGTGTGTGTATATGTATATGTGTGTGTATATATTCAAATCTCCACACATTTGGAAGGGAGGTGGGGAATGATATTCCTCTCTAGGGACAGGTACAACATAGCATTAGTGTTTTAGTATTCCTTCAACAGATGTTTTCAGCCTGGTTGTAGCACAGTTGGTAAATAGAAAATAATTAAAGTGAAACAAATGGTTTGAGGGTTGGAGCAATGAACACCTGCTCTATTATTAACCCCTGTATTGCGGTTTGTGATACATGAGATTACAAGGGAGCAGATTTCTGGAACTCTCTTGGATATCAGAGGTCTGTGTGGTTTGGGGGATTATTTTACTATAGGTATCTGCCCATTGTCTTGCTGAAGGGTAAATGGTGAAATTGTGTATGTGACTCTTAGAACAGATCATGGGGAATTGTAACGGTTTGATTATAATTTTTATTTATATAGCGCTATCGGATTCCGTAGCGCTGTACAACATGTGAAGTAGATCTATGAATTCATATAGTCACTTCATCCATACACTGACATTGTGATAAATGCTTTGTCTGGATTTGTGACACATTTTCTTGTGCATTTATCTTTATAATTAATAAAAAAAAAAAAAAATAAGCCATAGAGCTTATTCCCATACAGATACTGGGAAGTGCTGAATCAGAAGTGCATTTCTGGTAACTCTCCCCAAATCATGCTAATTCAGAATATACTTGGCCTCTTGTGGATAACCCCATACTTCAAGTCAAAGTGAAATGTATAAAACCTTTGATGTGAAAATACATTCTGAATATCTATGGCCTACTAATGTTTGAAGTTGTGCGAGTAATGCTTAAAGATTAGAAATGGTATTGGGGTGATTTATTATTTTATTTTTTGGACTGGTTAACCATACCCTGTTTCTCAGGAATGCTGGGAAATAGTCACATTTATTTACTTTCAAATGTGCACAAAATATAATTGCACAATACTGGTTAAACAGTTGTAGTCTGGAATGTGCCCCTCCCCCACCCCCTTTTCTCCTTTCTACTTGTAATTTCTGCAACATAATGGTAAAACACATCTCTATATCAATGTAATTTGTCCTGAGCTTAGGTCTGTGTGTCGTCTTAATAGCACATTAGAAACCTTTCACGTTTTGCTGACGCGGGAATGAAGAGGTTTAAGGTAATAGATTTTAGACTGCATCTTTGAACAGTGCTGCAGAATTGGCAGCCTTAATGCTGTAATGGAATTGGCCACTGCAGTGGTGCAATGCAGGAAATGGCTGTATTGTGCTTGCTAGTCTCAAACTATATATACAGACATTGCAACATCTCTTTTTTACATTGCAGTTTGTGTACAGTTAGTGAGTCAAACATCAGGAACCACCCAATATCTGTAAAATCTTGCTCACAGCTTTTGTAATAGGACTATTAGTGTACCTAATGTTAAATTTTATACCCATAAAATGAAACTAATATAGGTAGGTATTTCATAGTTTGCATGGGGGGGGGGGCGCAATATGTGTGTATATATAAATGTGTGTGTATTCTACTGACAAACTTAATAACCACTACATGTTGCCATTGTTTGTTCTGTCCTGTTTTTGTTTTTCTTGTAAAATGTTCTTTTACGATGGTTATGAATGTTTGACATGGTGTTTATATATTTAATCTTGAATTTTTATATAAACAATTGCAATTCTTGTACCATGAAGGCAAGCAAATCGTAGAATACAATTCAAATACTAAGAAAATGGAGGATACATTAAATAGATAATTATGCATTTGTGTTTCTAGGGAAACTGCAGGGAAAATAATCGTCTATTGCTTGTGGGTTCCATTTTGTTGGTATACCTAGGTTGTTTGTCTTCTCAGGTCTTGAAAGGCTAGAATTTTAATTTTTCTAAACTCTAAAAATTTTACTTTTAACTGCATAAGTCAAACTTCATAACTTTTTATCTGATAATCAGTTTTTATGCATCCACCCATCGCAGAGTAAGGTCTTTTTTTCTTTCTCTTGGCAAAATGGTGAGCCCAACTTCTAGCATTTGGAAACGTTTTCTTCTAATACTGTGAAAAGCGATACAAAATTCTACCAATACATTATTGCATTACCGTTGTCTCCCTTTCAATAAGCAGAACTAAACAAGACCTCCTTAACATGCCTAACTTAGACTTTATTTTCTTCCCTACAGGCTAAGTCTTGTATCTGTCACATGTGTGGTGCACACCTGAATAGACTTCATTCTTGCTTATACTGTGTTTTCTTTGGATGTTTCACGAAAAAACACATCCACGAGCACGCAAAGGGTAAAAGACATAACCTAGGTAAGCTTGCACTTCTCTCCTCGTGTGTGTGTGTGTACACACAGAATGCAGGTAACTTAAAAGGTCAAAAGTCTGTAAGTTAACTGTTTAAAACCTTCAAAAAGTAAACTTAAATTGGGTGAAGGAATGAAGTAATGGGGGAATTTTTATTTTTTTCAATTTTTTTTTTATTTTGATACTGGTGTATCAAAGAAAAACAAGATATGTGCAGGATATCTGTATTATTGAATGACTTATGTCTAAAGTAATGCACTCGCAATTCCCAGAGCTACTTCAAACCAGCTCTTGGTATATCCGTTTAATTCTTCCAGGGGTGTGGTGTATATTCCTCTTCCCAGTAACTGGAAGCTGCAGCAAATGAATATAAAGAGAACCCATGAGTATATTGCCAAAACTTTTATGCAATATAGGCAGTTAACTCTTTACATTGGATCTGTAAGAGCCTTAAAAACAACCGTTGCCTCAAGGTTGGATCTCTCCTGCTGGTTTATTTTTATTTTATTTTTTTCCCTCCATGTGTGATCCTTGGCACAAGCCACAAAAATGATCATATTTACAAACATTTGCCATAAATAGTATTGCAATATATTTGTTGTGGATTCATTTAAACGTATACATATATTTGTATCAAATACCAATATAAACTAATATTAATACATGTCCATAAATTATGAAAGTACTTGTAACTTTTTTCAACACCCACAACATAAAGGTTTATTTGCATATATGCAATCATAAATTGCAAAAATTAATCATTGTGTGTATAAAATGAGAATGAACTTTATTAATAATAAAGCTAACAATTATGGAAGCACTATTTAAAAAAAAAAAGTAATACTTGCAATTCTACATTAAGACTTTTAAGACTGTAGGGCAGAGTGTCTTTAATTTAAATACACTTTAAAAAAAATAAAAAATAAAATTTGTGTTATTTTTTTTGTTAAAAACCAAAATCCAAAGGCTTCACAGTGTGGTACAATAGGTAGTAGTTTATTCAGGATCAGCAGGACAAAATCATAAACGGCGTTTCGGCCTCAAGCCTTAGTAGTATATATGACTAAGGCTTGAGGCTGAATCGTTGTATATGATTTTGATCTCCTGATCTTGAATAAATTTCCTGTCTAACCACACTGTTAAGAATTTTTGGATTTTGAATACTCCTCCTAAGGGACTGCAGATTTCTTCCATGGTGCTCCAGGTGTGGTATCGGAAACTATTTATTTGGTTCCGAGGGCAACATTATGTATTTTAAAAAAATTAAAAAATATAAATTTTTTATTAGAGTATGAAGTTGTCTAGCGGTACATATTGCATACTGTCTGTTGCAGGGGCATGTTTGCATGTAAATCACATTACTCGTGAAAATTCCTTGTGTTTATATTTTTTTCCTTTTTTTTTTTTTTTTCTTAAATATTTTTTTGGATTGTTTCTTCGCTCCTGTCCCTCACATGCTAGACCGTATGCACAATGATTTAAAAAAAAAAAAAAAAAGCCAGCTTAACTTGGTTATTAATGTTTGTTGTGGTATCTATTGCCTGTCCCTGGAGGCATTTTCAGAAAAAAGGCAGTGGTTACATTACTGCCTAGGGACGCCTCCATTGGCAGTCACTCAAACTGCCACTAGATGTACTGACATTCAATGTCTCTATGCTTGGAGATGCTGAACTTTCCCCATAGAGATGCATTGAGTCAGTGATTATCTCAGTTAATCCAATGCTTTTCAAAATGCTGCGTTGCTCCAATCTGCATCTTCTTAGAGATGCATTGAATCAATCCATCTCTGTGGGGAACGTTCAGCGCCTCCATGCAGAGTTCTCTGAAAAGGAAGTGTTTACATTAAAAGGCCTGCAGAGACTGTGCCTAGTGTCCCTTTAAGAATTTCTACTGTCCACTGAGTTATATTATAGGGTAAATGTGTGGTTCCCCTTTGAATTAGACACTCCTTAGGACCCCCCCACCCCACCTTTGGGGTCCCCCTCCCTTAGCGCTGAAGGGGTTAAAACCCCTTCAGCTTAACTTAATCCAGCGCCGGGCTCCCTCTGCGCTGGTGACTTCTCCTCCCCCGCCGACTTCAGCTCCCGAGCTTTCTCAATGCTTTCCTATGTACGTTCTGCACGCTGAATGCGAATTTCGCATCCAGCGTTGCAGGTGCGCTTTTAGCGGCTGTCAGGAAGAAAGCCACTAGAGGTTGGCTTAACCCCTAATGTAAACATAGCAGTTTCTCTCAAACTGCTATTTTTACATGTGATAGGTGAAAACCTGAGGGACATTGTACCCAGACCACTTCATTGAGCTGAAGTGGTCTGGGTGACTATAGTGTCCCTTTAATGTAGAATTCAAAGTATGTCACTTCTTATAGTACTTCTGTTTTTATAATTGTTTTATTCCTGTGTATTATTTTTTATCAGCAGGGTGATATTGTGGGTTTTTTTTTTTGGTTTTTTTTTTTATATGCATGCGTATACGGATATAAAAAAAACCTTTTGTTGGTGTTGGCAAACTAATTACAAATAATTTTTATATTTATCGTTGATGTGTATTAATTTATATTGGTATTTGATGCAATGTTGGATGTAAACGTTTAAATGAATCCATTTACAGATTTGTTTATTATAATAAATTTTCTGACCGTTGTATACAATTTGATTTTTGTAATAGTGCGTCTTAAAAAAACAACAAATAACACAATGTAATTTTATTAGCATTTAGTTAGCGACGTTTAGTATACATGCCCTGATTGTACATACCAACGTTAAACTTTAATAGTGTTATGCAAGTAGAAAAATTAAAATCTGGCAATGTGATGTATTTAAATTATAATTTGGTAAAATTATGGTTATTAGGAAAGATTATTATTTTTTATGCACAGATCGTATACAACACACTATTGAAGATGTTAATTGGGCAAATGAGGTTTGGGAAATGGACCAATTAATACATTTTTAGATGGACAGTAGGACCCTTTTTAAGGAAAGCGAGATCTAGGCTATGTGTTGAAAGAAGCCAGATTTAGAGTTTGAAACGTGTAAAGAGGAGGCAGACACAGAACTCCTTGGTAAACTTGAGCGGCATGCTTTTATGTGTGGTGAAAAGAATGTTTTAAGTGTACCCTGGGAAACATACATATGAGATGTAACAGAACACGTTTGCTTATATTGTAGTAGTACTCATTTATGTTTTGTCTTCAGCCATAGACCTATTGTATGGGGGTATATACTGCTTTATGTGTCAAGACTACATATATGACAAAGATATGGAGCAAGTTGCCAAAGAAGAACAAAGAAAAGCTTGGAAACTGCAAGGTATGGGTATTTATTTTCAAATGGTAAAAAAAAATGTGTATTGCGTATGTGTATTGCATGTATGTAGTGTATCTTCCTGTTAACAATCCTAAACCACTATTTCCATTATGGAAATGTTCTGTGTAGTGGTTTGTGTGTTTTATAGATTAAACACTGGCTAGTGCTTTTATTTCTTCTGATATCCCTTTTTTAATGCACATTCAGGGCAATACATTTTCCCTAGAAATGTGTCATATAGTAGTCTAGGTAAAAAAAAAAAAAAAAGACTAAAGTCCATTAATTTCAAAGTTTGAACCCATTCTTTCATGCTGTCCATCCAAAAGAAAAAGGCAAAATAACACAGTTGTAGCAATTTCCAATTGTGCCACTAAAAGGGAAAACTTTTTTCTTGCCGCCATGATGCCAATCCGAATTTCTTTTCTTTTTTAATTTTTTTTTTTTTTTTTTCTTTTGGATCAACAACCTGTTCACATACACTGATCAGCCACAACATTCAAACCACTGACAGGAGACGTGAATAACTTTTATATCATTACAATGGCACATGCAAAAGAGTGGGACATATTAGGCAGCAAGTGAACAGTCAGTTTTTGAATTTCGTGTGTTGGAAGCAGGAAACATGGGCAAGCGACAGGATAGGAGTTACTTTGATATGGGCCAAATAAAGATGGTTAGATGACTGGGTCAAAGTATCTCTCTAAAACCGAAAGTCTCGTGGGGGGGGGTTCCTATTATGCAGTTGTTAGTATATACCAAAGGTGATGCAAGGACAACCATTAAACCACTGTCAGTCATGGGCGTCAAAGGCTCATTGATGCATGTGGAAAGCGAAGGCTACCCAGTCTGGTTCAATCACACAAAGGCACTACTATCGCTCAAATTGCTGAAAAACATAATGCTGGCCATGATGGGAAGGTGTCAGAACACACAGTACATCAGTTTGCTGTGTATGGGACTGTGCAGCTACAGACCAGTCAGAGTGCTCATGATGTCCCATGTTCATTGCTGACCGCACCTTCTATGGGGACATGAGTGTCAGAACTGGACCATGGAGCAATGGAAGAAGGTTGCTTGGTCTGATGACTCACATTTTCTTTTAGATCAGATGGATGTCTGGGTGCAGCAGGTTGCACTATTGGAAGAAGGCAGGCCGGCGGAGTCAGTGGTATGCTCTGGGAAACCTTGGGTCCTGGCATTCAAGTGGATGTTACTTTGCAACAATCTCTCGGTAGGTGGTACGTGTCAGACAACGTACACCCTTTCTTCATGGTAATGCTGTTTGCTAATGGCAGTAGCCTCTTTTAGTAGGATAGTGCACCCTGCTACCCTGCAAAAAAATTCAGGAGTGGTTTGAGGAACGTGACCGTTTAGTGTGTTGCCTTGGTCTCCAAATTCTCAAGATCTCAATCCAATTGAGCATCTGTGGGATGTGCTTGAACAACAAATTCGATCCATGGAACCCCCACCTTGCAGATAGTAAAGGATCTGCTGCTAATGTCTTGGTGCCCGATACTACGGGACACTTCAAAGGTTTTGTGGATTCCATGCCTCAACGCATCAGAGCTCTTTTGGCAGCATGAGTGGGAGGTAGTTTTAATGTTGTGACTGATCAGTGTACATATCAATTATATAATTGAATTCACTATTGACAAATTATTTCTAGTTCCACAAAGGAAGCCAAGACTTCTCATAAAGTAAGAAAATAGAAATTAAAAAAAAAAAAAAATATATCTATATCTCTCTCTCTAGCAATCAGGCATTGTTATCCAGACGTGCAATTTTCAGAAAAACTCCATGATATGAGCAACCTCTATATCCATTGAGTGATACAGAATCAAGGGTGCATATGTCCCATTTAATGAAGATATACAAGATGAACCTGAGCACTGCACATAGGATTAAACTAAATTGTGACACTTGTTTACACACTGTTACTGTCCACATTAGGATACTGGGGAAAATATCTATCTCCAGAGATAGGCAACATTCGGCACTCCAGATGTTGTGGACTACATCCCCCATAATGCTGGCAAAGCATCATGGAAGGTGTAGTCCAAAACATCTGCAGTGCTGAAGGTTGTCAATGCCTGCCCTAGACCTTCAATTAAAATCCATCAATTTGCAGACTCTTAAGAAAAACCTGGAGCCTTGGTATAATAAATATATAAATCTTTGACACCACAGTATTCGCGCCTTAGTTGGCTGCATATGTTTGCCAATCTTCAATTGGATATATTTGCTATTCTGCAACAGTCTCTACTCATCTTTGTCTACTTTGTTTTCTTGGAGCACACCATACTCAGTTTATCCAGTCAAAATATATATAATCGATTCTTGGGTCCTCTACTAGAGGCCTGGAAGTTTGAGGGTTCTGTGCAGTATCTTAGCTGATCCTAGAACTGCACTCTTTTGGACAGCAATCTCGATGTCCCAGCTGGAATATGTTGAAGACACTCCTCCCAACTTGGGAGTCACAGCCCCGAGTGCTCCTATCACAACTGGGACTACTATGGTCTTCACTTTCCACATAAGTCCTTGGTATTTCTCCATTTTCTAATGTTCCTTCTTCCTGATGTTATTGTGTGTGTTTAGACACGTTCACACACTAAATCCCACAACCAGTATGCAAAATCAAATATGGCTCTGCACCTGAAATGGAACAAGATTGCTTATCACAGAGGCAATGCTTTAAAAAATGCATTTGTACAAAATCAAATAATTTTTCACCTAAAATAGGATCACACAAGACCTCACCAAAGGCTTTGCTTTAAGGTTGTATACATATAGATGAAAGTGTGTGCATGTGTTATGTATACATATATTTTTTTGGTTGTATAGTTTTTTTTTTTGTTTTTTTTTTTAAACTCCTCAATTTACTTATTGACCATGTAAGTGTAAAGAGAACTTGAGCTCGGTATTCAATAAATGTTTTACTCTCCAGTGTGCATTTTAAATATAGCAATATTCTGCCATTGAGTTCTTTTGTGTATAAATCTTGGTTTTATTTATTGTCCTTCTCTCTCCCCTGCCCCTTCATTTTTTTTATCTCCACAACTAGCTTTTACTCCAGCCCTGGTTTCTCCATACCAGTATGCAATGACAGGTAAGATTACCTCCTCCAGGGTGTTTGCTTTTTATGGTCGGAGAAGTGTGTATGTTCCTCTTATGTCTCTTGTCCTGCTCCCCTTTTGTGAAGAAATGATGCAAGTTGTCAACACCTGCAAGAATATCTTACTGTGTAACTACTCAATCCTGCTTGCCCTCTATAAATGAGATGTTCATGAGATACAGAGAAGAAAAGTTTTTTTTTTTTTTTTTTTTCCTCTAAGTATTTCACCTCAGACTTACAGATTTCAAATTAACATGTGGGATTATTTTCTAATGAGCTGGTTGCTTTTGGGAAAGGAAAATGCCTTAATGTGAACCTGTTATCCACAAAACATATGGATAGCTATTGCACATTACCTCACATAGATGTTTAATCAGACAAGTTATACAGACTGCACTAGTAAAATCTGTTCTGGTGCGTTGAGTGACCGTTTTATGCAGCAAGTACACCGTCCTTGGTCTCCCTGCCAAGAATGTCTAACTTTAAGTTTTTGTAGAAATTGCTGCAAATATAATCCTGTTACCCTGGCTCTCAGACATCAGTGGATTGATAAATCTTATGTAAACCATGTCTGTATATGCAGTAGAACTGTGCCTTATTCAGTATATTTTTTAATTTTTTTCCCCAGAGTTGTTCAAATATTTTATCTTGCCATTTTGTATTAAATGTTAATGAAGAACTCTCTCTAGAGAATTATTAGCAGCTTAGAAATTTATAGGAAAAAAACCAGATGAGGCTGAAACATTATAGAGCAGACTTTAATGCTGCCTGAGCTTCCAATTCATGCTTTTGAAGTGAGCACAGGGTTCATGCGAAGATTGATATTTAAAACCACTTGTTTACATTATTTGACCTGCTTTACAGTATATGCTTTTCAGGAATACCTGGGTAAGGATTACCCCATAGTTCCTTGGTGCCCTGCTTAAATCTAAAAACCTAGGGATTTTAATGTATATTGGCAAATATACATATATTTCTAATCATGCAGATATCACTGATAACTGGAAAAATTTTTTAACTCTATTTGCAATGAAAATATCAAAATATATATATATATATATATATATATATATATATATATATATATATATATATATATATATATATATATATATATATATATATATATATATTTATATATATATATATATATTTATATATATATATATTTATATTCATTCTAAGATGCAAATGTATCGACCATGCCATCCTTTTCCAGAACGATGAAAAGGTTTATCATCTGGTAAAGTGAGTCAAGTATAATAAATCTAATCTAATATATTTTAGGAGTTGGAGAAAAGTATTCAACATGGGAACCGACCAAGAGGGAACTTGAGCTGCTGAGGCATAACCCCAAGAGAAGGAAAATAACCTCAAACTGCACCATAGGTAATTAAGGACACTAATTTCCGATTGATCCCAAAAAGCTTATAGTCTGTACCGGATTTCTACTGCTACACTGTGTTCCTCCATGGAGTTTTGACTCTGACAGTCTTGCTATAAAATAGAATGTTCTAAAAAATAAGTAATAAACAGTCATGAGGAAACCATAGTGAAGTAAGCAAAATACTGAGGCAAAGTAGTCACTACTTTGTCTTAGTATATCTTTCGACTGGGTTGGCATTTCATTGAAATTCTGCTAAAGTAATTATGAAATACAAATTTTTGATATGGTGGGTCACAGAGGCCTCCCTTTAAAATTCAATGTAAATGCACACAGTTAAAATGTTTATGAAGTTACAGTAATTAAGGAATCCAGCAAAGAAGTGTTCAAAGTTCAGTCTCCTGTGCTAATGCATTTCATCATTTTATTTTGCATTTCAAAATAAATTCTCAAATTAGTAAAGGAAGACCTATTGGGCATCGCATAATGTTGTTTCTTGGAGGACATTCCAAGGAAGCCCATCTGGTTTCATAGGGCCCTGAACAGAGCCTTAACTGGCAGATTGTCATTACATGCTTTAAAATTTTAATAAAATGCATTTAATTTTCATGCTGCATGTTTTAAATGCATTTAATTTTCACGCCACTATTGTTGACTTCTTTGTACCTTCTTTTTCCATATTCACACACACACACACACACACACACACACACACACACACTTTTCCCCTCATGTTCTTGATCTCATAATCACCTCAGACTTGCCTTTCTACTATTGTTTCCTTTTTCTCTTCCTCTTTCAGAATCTGTTCTTTTCTTCATTTCTGATCCATTTCTCTTTAAAACACAAGACAAATTAGGAACCACTTTGTCACATGTATTTTTCCTACACTTCGCGAAAAATTAGATTAAGGCAAGCTGCAATTTCTTAGCTTAACAAAGGAAGTGGAGCTCAAACTACTACATTTGCATTGACTTAGAGATAAGGGTTAATAACCAAATTCTCAAATATTCACTTTTTTTTTTTTTTCTCTTCTCTAGGTTTGCGAGGATTAATCAATCTTGGGAACACGTGTTTTATGAACTGTATTGTCCAGGCACTTACCCACACTCCTTTACTGCGAGATTTTTTCCTTTCTGACAGGCACAAATGTGAAATGCAGAGCCCCAATTCTTGCCTGGTTTGTGAAATGTCTACTCTCTTTCAGGAGGTAAGTTCTTCTGGTAGATTAGTATTGTCTGCTCCCCCTCACATTTTTACCAGATTGGATATGGAATAAATATTTTTACACTCTGTTCATAAAGTTGTTGAAGTTTCTTAAACCACTTAAGTAAAATAGGTTGCTGCTTTCTAAAACATAACACTACCTCATTACCCACACCTACCTTTATTTTTTAACAAGGCAACTTCCTTATTAAAAAAAAAAAAATAATGTGGGGAGCGAACAAGCTGCATCCCACAGCCAATCGCTGTCCTATCTGTCCCATTTCTTTGAAATAGTATGGAGATAAAGGACAGTGGCTGTGCAGTGCAGCCAACTCAGCAGCTCTTATCACACTGGGCTACTATTCATGAAAATATTTGGTAAAAATATGGAGCTTTAAAGGGATACAATCGTGCCCGGAATACAACGCAGCATTCCTGTCACTACCGATCCCTCTGCCTCCCCCCTTTCTCGCGCCCCCCTCCTCTCCGGTTAACAAATGGTTAAAAACACTTTACTTACCAAATCTCGGTGCTGGCTTGAAGCTCTGCTCTTTCCTCCTTCCCGTGGCGAGCGAGGTCTAATGCGCATGCGTGGCAAATGCTGCATGCATTAGACCTCCCCACTGGAAAGCATTGAATCAATGCTTTTCCTATGGGAGAAAATCTGATGCTGGAGGTCCTCATGCAGAGCGTGAGGACATCCAGAGTCAGATAACAGACCAAAAGTCTGTTATGATTCTGGAAGCGCCCCCAGTGGTAGATAGCCACTGTGGGCAGACTTAGTGCTACAATGTAAACATTGCAGTTCTCTGTAACTGTAATTTTTGACATTACAGCACTAGGTGCAAAAGGGCACAGCACCCAGACCACTTCAATGAGCTGAAGTGGTCTGGGTGCCTACAGTGTATTTTTAATACAAGAAACACACCTGACAAACTTAGGTTGCTACTATGAGTGTTCATTTACCTCTTATGCCAGTTGAATCAATAATTATTTTGTGCTTTAAGAAGTTCAGTCTGCAGTTTTTAAAATGTAATTCTTCTCTCTCGCCTACAAGCCATCCATCAAACATGGCAGGGATCTTCTCTTGCCACCATAACTACTTAGATAAACTGAAATTATGGTGCCAAGAGTGGTGTAAAGTAGGGCTGTGTGTGTAATCAATCCCGAAGTTAGCTATAGTTTATACAGTATATATGAATCTAATTTTTTCTGGTTTAGCAAGCCAACTTTTAGTCCAAGCTACAATGGTAAGAAAATTACTTGCTGGTTAAGCTTATTTTCTAGGTTATATGATACAGAATTTTTATTTATTTTTTTAAATATATGAATGTTCAAATCTGTTTTGTTAATTATATCCCAGTTGTGGGATGTTGGCTTTATTAGAAGAATTTTTTTATTTTTTTGTGTCAGTTTCTTTAATCTTTAGATCCCCCTCTTTTTATTCTAATCTCCAGTTTTACTCCGGGCACCGATCTCCTCACATTCCATATAGGTTACTGCACCTTGTATGGACGCATGCAAGACATTTAGCAGGGTACGAACAACAGGATGCACATGAATTTCTCATTGCTGCATTAGATGTACTGCACAGACATTGCAAAGGTAAATGCTCTCACTATCTGGACCACAACATATTAAGATGGAATTGTAACCATTTTTGTTTCAACCTGTGATCTGTGTAAGTTCTTCATTGAGACGCTGCACTTTCCTCATAGAGATGTATTGCTTCCCTTGGTTGAGATTATCAGAATTTACTATCTCAGCCAGTCCAATGCTTTCCTATGGGACAGCATTGTTATAGGCTGAGATAATCACTTCTGATGAGGTCAGCCAAAGAAGTGGATGGGGAGCAGACCCATGCAGAGCTGGAAATAAGGTAAGATCTTCCTATATTTTGGGGGCCCAAGGGAGCTAGATGGTTATTTTAACACTATAGGGTCAGGAATAAACATTTGTGTTCCTTAATGTGCCAAAAAAAACTTTTTGGGGTTGTTCTTGCTTTCTTATCCTATAAGCTTTTTCTAGTTTAGCCTAATAAATTGGCCATTTGGCAAACACTGATGGCATTTATATACTGTAATAGTGTCTTGTGCTATAATTGTTAGTATTGTTTACTGATTAGTATTGTTTACTGACCTATTTAATTAAAATGTTTAAATTTCCTTTTCTTATTGTTAATCACTTATTGTTAATCTCATTCTCTTCCTCTTTAGGTGATGACAATGGAAAGAAGGCCAACAATCCAAACCACTGTAACTGCATCATAGACCAAATATTCACTGGAGGACTGCAGTCAGATGTAACTTGTCAAGTGTGCCAGTGAGTTCTCGCCTGCCTTTGGAAAAGTATATCTGGTTTAGGATGTATGCATGTAGATCTTATTTTAATACTAGAGTCCTATTTCCATAAATTAAAATAAAATCCTTACATTAACATATACAGAGTTTTATAGGGATTGTGATATTATGCTTTAAAAATGATTGACCATAAAACTGATCTGTTAAAGAAGTAAAACCACACTGCATATTGGTGTTGGTGGACATGAAAGGAACACAATAACACACTCACACAATCATGACTAAAGATACATTCTGCCATTAGAAATTTAACATGTACAGCAAAGGTTTTCTAACGTTTGATTTCTTTTACAACTAGTGAGATGTATCCACCAAAATGGTAAATTAAAGCGTTTAGCTTACATTTATTTACAGCTGCCACTTCTCCCCTGGCAGAGATCAATACTGATAATCTCAGCAACTCAAATGCTCACCTATAAGGGAGCATTGGGGACTAGTGCTCATGCATGGCAGTTGCCATGTTGGGCAAATCAGAATCTCCTCATAGAGGTGCATTGACTCAGGGCATCTCAGTGGGCAGTGTTTGGCATCTCTGTGCAGTACTAAGTGTCATTCCTGCAAAGATCGAAAGACTACAACCCAGAAGCGCCTTACGGAGCAGTGTTAACACTTCCTTTTCTCAGAAAAGGCAGTATTTACCGTGCTTAGACTCTAGGTATAGCCTCTGTGCCATAACACCACTACATTAAGGTGTAGTAGTTTAGTTGCTTAGTGCCCTTTTGTAAGAATTAAGGAATGTCTGACCTCTAAATGTATACTTCGAGGTAGTTCATGTTTCGTAACTGTTGCTTCTGAAATGAACATAAAATGTATCATATTCTTCATTTCACAAGTTGAGTACTCCAATGTTTTCAGGTTCAAAGCAAAGGACGGCTGCCTTATAACAAGCAAGCGTAGACTTTACTGCCTAAGAGTTGACATTTGCATGGACTAAAGTCACAATTCAGTGCTTATATTCATGTTTCAAAGTAGAAGAAAAGTTATCAGGGAGTAATCTGCGCACCTACAGTTGCTTATTATGCATGCACTGTAGGTTTTTTTTGTTGTTTTTTTTTTTTTTACCTGTACAAAGGTTCTCCTGCTAAAAACCTGTTAATTCTCTACCTGCATGCAATGCTGTTTGCATATTAGGGTACGCCAATCATTAAAGGAACACTATACCGTTTAGTTGACTAGGGGCCTCCCTTCTGTGGCGAATAAAGGGGTTAACCATTTGCTTACTTTAATCCAGCTCCGGGCTCCCTCAGCACTGGGGACCTCTCCTTCACCATCGATGTCAGCTACCGAGTGGAGCCGAATGCGCATGTGTGGCCAAAGGCGCGCGTGCATTCAAACCTGCCCATAGGAAAGCATTACTCAGTGCTTTCATATGGGGATTTGTTTTGACACTGGACTCTGTGAGGATGTCCAGCGTCAAATAAGTGTGATTTACTCTGTGTAAATTGCAGAAGGGGCCTCTGTCAGTCAGGGAGAAGGCCACTAGAGGCTGGATTAACCCTGCAGTGTAAACATAGCAGTTTCTATGAAACTGCTATGTTTTTAGCTGCAGAGTAAAAACTAGGGGGACCTGGCACCCAGACCACTTCATTGAGGTGAAGTGGTCTGGGTGCCTGTAGTGGTCCTATAAGTTGCTCAATGTATAGATTTTATTTTAAGTACTGTAAATTGGCACCAAGTCTTGTTTGGAATGGCCTATGATTTGATAGATATTGTGTAATGCTACTCCCTAAATGTGTTTGCCTGAAATTTTTGTTCCTGGTCAATCCATTGATCCATAACTGACTCATTAACTAGATATATTAATCATTGAAATAGTTAAAAAGGGAATTGGGTCTCCATTAGTTTTGTATGCAAAGTAAAGGTGCATTATTTTAAAATATAGGGTAACTATTGCAAAGGTTTCTAAACTGAAAAATATATTTTTACTGAGACTGGCGATTAAATGGACCCCATAGGAATCTGAATATCCTCTGTGCACTAACCCTGGTTGTCTACTTTGTCTACAATTGTTTGCCATGGTGGAGGTATCCTTAAGTGTAGTTCTTTTATTCCTGCATGAATGTATGCATGGGCCTAGTAAATATCAAGTTTGAAAATGGACATTGGCCCTGGGAATTATTATTGGTATTTATATAGCGCCAACAGATTATGTAGTGCTTTACAATATTATAAAAGGGGGGAGATTTAACAATAAATAAGACAATTACAAAAAACCTACAAGTTAAAGGTACCTACGATGGGCTGAAGAGGACCCTGCTCAAACAAGCTTACAATCTATAGGAGGTTGGATATAAAACACAATAAAATAAGAGAGTAATCAAAGAGGGTGGGAGTGAAGCAGAGCTGGAGGAGAGAGTAAAGTGCTGCCCTTTAGGAGAGAGCAAGGGACAGGTATGTGAGTAGAGTTTACTCTGGGATGCCATAATCTATCTTGAAGAGAGGTTTTAAGGCACTTCAACACTAGGAATGAGTCTGGAAGGGAGCCACCCGCGAGAAGTCCTGCAAGCGTCAGTTGGCCGTACGCGTGTGAGCAGCGGACGTGAAGGAGCATACTGATAAATCGGTGAAGAGATGTAGGAGGGGCTAGAATTGTTGTATGGATTAGTATTTTAAATTGACTCCTGTAGAATGCAGAAAGCCAATGAAAGGACTGACAGGTGATGTGTGAAAGGACCAACTGGAGAGGAGAAATCGGTCTGACAACAGTATTCATTAGACTGTAGCGGGACAATATGGCTTTTGGGAAGACCAATAAGGATTGGGTTACAATAATCCATGCGAGATTACTAGAGCATGGACAAGCTCCTTCGTAGCATCTTGTCTAAGGAATGGGCGGATGCGGGCTATGTTTTTAAGATGGAATCTACAGGCTTTGGCAACATACTGGATGTGAGGCTCAAAGGTGAGGCCAGAATAAAGTATGACTCCAAGACAGCGCGCTTGCAAGGATGGACTTATGTGGATTCTACTTACTTGAAGGGAGAGCAAAAGAGGAGGATTGGTTTTAGGAGGAGGAGGAAAGACAAGGAGCTCAGTTTTAGAGAGATTGAATTTCAGAAAGCGGGAGGACATCTAGTCAGAAATGGAAGAAAGGCAAGCAGTGGCACAGGGGAGAGGTGTGTGGAGAAGAGATATCTCTCTATCTCTCTCCCTCTCTCCCTCCTCTGTTTAAAGAGAATAGAAGGGGACCAAGGAGAGAGCATTGGGGGACTCCAACCAAGACAGGATGAAGGGAGGAGATACTGAATGAGCGTTGGGAGACATAGGAGGAAAAAAACGAGAGACCGAGTGTTTGAAGAACAACATGATCAACAGTGTCAAAGAATTCTCTACAGAACATTATAGGTTATTGCAATACTTAAAGGGACACTAAGCACCAACAAAAATCCTCTTAATTAAGTAATCTTATTGATTTTGTCTTACAATGTAAAGTCTTGCTATTTCAAAGAAATGGCAATGTTAACATTTTGTTAATGCCTCTAGCAGACAGCCACTAGAGGTGCATCCTTCAAGAGCTTCTTAGAGAAGCCTTCAATTGTTGCTTCTCTGTAAGAAGTACTGGACTTATACATCATAAAAACTGCTACACTTGCACCAAAGGATTACAGTGTAAATAAATGTAAAGGCCCCTTTAAACATTTTAACTTAATGTGTTTTCAGGAATACAGTATTCACACTGGAAAGGCCAGTGTGTATGTAAACCTAAAAAAAAAAAAATTGTATCACAAAAATATGCCAAAAACAAACAGATCACACTGCCTCTAGATAGAAATTGTGGGCTGTTGAGTATCTACAAATGCATACTTTGATGTGGTAGTTCTGGGGTTTTGTGTTGGCTGTTAGAAATACAGTGCCAATATACTAAAGTTACTACTTATTTAGGCTGAAAAGAGACATGTGCCCATCAAGCTCAGCCTTCACGTTTTAAATTGTACTACTTGAATGCTTTGCCCATATCAATATTGATTGAAATTTCTGTTAATATATTCCTACACTAACAAAAAATTACTAAAGCTTATTGTTGGGCACTTTTGTTACAGTTGCAGAGTACAAATTCTTAGAAGCACACTGTTATTGCGCTGTATGTATTATAATACCAAAAACTAGCAACAGGTTAATAAAAAGACCATCTTCTACCTCCTTCAAGATGGTCATGTTTATTGTAAGCAGAACATCCAGTGTTGTAATTATTTTTGTCTTTATCAGTAATTGTTTTAATTTTATTTTTTTTACAATTAGTGGTGTCTCTACAACAATAGATCCGTTTTGGGACATCAGCTTGGATCTGCCAGGTTCTTCTACTCCCTTTTGGCCTTTGAGCCCTGGAAGTGACGGTGGAGTTGTGAATGGAGAAAATCATGTTTCAGGAACAACCACCCTAACAGACTGTCTGAGAAGGTACATTAGTGGAGCATAAACTGTGTTGAAATGTGTTGTGTGCAGCATATGTAATATTTTGGCATGCACATAACAAATGTTTAACTTCTATAATATGAGTACTCTGTCTTTGCTGTGGAAGCACAGTGTGACATTGAATATATTGGCTGCGTTTAGTTGCTGTAACACAAAAATCAAAATAAAAACCCTGAATCTAGGATTCAGACCATCAATGATTTAATTTCATCTTAAACCAGTGTGGAAGTAGAATTTTCCTTTTTGTTTTTTTGTTTTTTTTGCAAATCTACTAAAAGGTTTCCCAAAATAAAACATTTTTTTTTTAAAAACTTTAATTCCATTTTATTTAATTTTTGTTTCTTTAAACCCTTCAACTTTCCCAGAATAAGTATCAGTTGGCCTTTCTTGAAAGTCATTGAGCCATTAATGCTGTTCAAACAGCTAGACAGAAATTATGAAAATTCAGACCCCATCAAATGTAACTCTTGCTCTGTTTGTGACATTTTTTGTTAACCTTACTATAAAAGAATACAACTTTTTTTGTTTTAAAAAAAAAAAAAAAAGAGGGGAGGGGGGGTGCATAATCTCTAGAAACCTATTTGGTAGCCCAAAGTGGTTTCTGGTTCTCCTTGTGTAATTGCTCTTCTATAGCATATAGTGCAAGCTATAAATTGTGAATACAATTCTTGAAAATGTAATTTCCTTGCTCCTTTGGTAGCGTATTCTCCCATCTGGGTTACTATTATCTCCTCTTTCCATTAGTTTCCTTACATCTTTGTCATTATTTTGTGGGTGGGAGGGAACTGGATCCTTAAAGGACCACTATAGTGCCAGGAAAACATACTTATTTTCCTGGCACTATAGTGTTAATAGGTTCCCCCCACCCGCAGGGTCCCACTCACGCCAGGCTCAGGAGGGGTTAATCACTTATCTTTCTCCAGCGCCAGGCTCCCTCGGCGCTGAGGACTCTCCTCCCTCTTCCGACATCATCCGCCGAATGCGCATGCAAGAGCCGTGCGCGCATTCAATCAGTCAATAGGAAAGCATTTTTCAATGCTTTCCTATGGACGGCAGCATCTTCTCACTGTGAAAATCAGTGAGAAGCGCGGTAGCGGCTGTCAATGAGACAGCCACTAGAGGCTGGATTAACCCTAATGTAAACATAGCAGTTTCTCTGAAAATATGTTTACAGCTGCAGGGTTAACCCTAGATGGACATGGTACCCAGACCACTTCATTGAGCTGAAGTGGTCTGGGTGCCTATAGTGGTCATTTAAATTACTCCCTAATGTGACTTGGTGATGAGGGAACTATGCAACAAGCAAAGGGGGACCAAACCACTTTAGTAGTTGCAGATACACTGGCATCCATAACTCTAATTTAAAAAAAATTTTTATTGATCTCCTTATCGTAAACATGCTAATTGTGTAACACACTAAATTCACATTGATGTGAAACCTGTATAATTTCCTCTGGTTTGCTGATCTACTTTTGCCTTTCTTTGTCATCCCTTGCAATTATGCACATGAAAAAATATTTTTTTAAAAATGTTTCTCATTCTGTTAGGTTTACACGACCAGAACATCTTGGAAGCAGTGCCAAAATTAAATGCAGTGGTTGCCATAGTTACCAGGAATCGACAAAACAGCTTACTATGAAGAAATTGCCTATTGTGGCTTGTTTTCATCTCAAAGTAAGACAAGTGCATAATGTCGGTTGGACAGTAAATGTTCCACAATGTTGTCTGCAAAAGCTTACAGCCTACTGAAAAACTGACTGTCGGCATTACTAAATTGGTCAATCTTTGGCCCAACTGTCTTTATGATCTTACATGCGCAGGCAAAAAACAACTTTGTTTTGGCATGGAAAAAATAGTAGTATGACAGGGTTTTCACCTGTTAGAAAGGAGGCTGCTTTGTAGACATTACTCACTAGCGCAATAAACCACAACAGTACTGAAGGAACTAGACCAAATGAAGATAGTTAAAACCTATAATTCTTTAGTTTATCCTGTTAAAGTATACAGGAAGGGTCAGTCTGTGGGGTGACCATATTTAAAAAAACAAAAAAAAAACAAACACACACTTTTTCTATTTAAGGCTAGAAGGGCCTTGTTCATACACCTACAAATAAGGGCTTTAAGAATTAATGGTTTTGTGTACAGCACAAGTCTTTGGATCTTCTGCAGGGAGTACTCCCCAATCCAAATTTATTTTTCTATAGGGAGATGAGACTATCCATGTTTACTTACCTTGTAGTTACATTGTTGCTCTTTCTAGAGCTGCCATAAGTGGCTTTGCTGTTAAAGTTTTAACTGTTCCTTTAAAAAAAAAAAATCACAAATTTAATTTATTTTTCTGTCATAGCGGTTTGAACATTCAGCTAAGCTGAGGCGGAAGATTACTACATATGTATCGTTCCCTTTGGAGCTGGACATGACTCCATTCATGGCATCCAGGTGAGAGGAGTTGATGTCTAAAGAGATTTGAGCTTTCTTTTAAGATGCGATTGGAATGATAGTCAGAAAATGCTACCTCATGTTTGGTACTTTATTTTGTGTTTGTACAAATAATGGCTCTTTATTCAAAATGATGCATGACCATAAATGTAGGGTACCTCAGAAGCAAAGATAAGCATGATGTAATTTTTGAGGAAATGTAAAGCTATACTTATATTGGCTTGTTAAATGTAGGATAAGACTTGTTTTTGCGCAATGATAGAAGGTAAATAAACAAATGAATTCGGAATATGAAATAAATGGAACATAGGAAAAAATCTGTGTAAGATCTTCCACACCACTTTGTCCTGGTGGGTGGTGTTTAGTTTTTTTGTTTTAGGTTTTTATGAAGTGCATATTCCATAGGTTTTTGACATTTGTGTTCCCTTTATTGCAGCAAAGAGAGCAGGATGAACGGGCAATATCTGCAACCCCCAGATAATTTAAATAATGACAATAAGTGAGTACTGCACATTTCTGCCGTAACCTCTCTAAAATTAACCTCCATTCAGGGTGTTTGTCTTCATAATATACACTGTGTAGGCATAAATCAGCTGGTCAGAGTAGATGGTAACACCACTTTGACTGGGATTCAAACCGTTTTTTACCAGTCCTAACCGCTTTACCAGTAAGTGCCCTATCGATAAATACTTACATTTTCATACATTGTAAGCCAATTTGAGAAGGGCTTTCCTCCCCTCTAAATAATATTGTAATGCTCTGCAGAATATGTTGGACTTTAGTGCCTAACACTAGACTTTAGATGAGCAACATTCTTTTAAAATGAGGAATTGCAGCAGACTTTGAGATAGAAACATAGAATGTGACGGCAGATAAGAATCATTCGGCCCATCTAGTCTGCCCAATTTTCTAAATACTTTCATTAGTCCCTAGTCTTACCTTATAGTTAGGATAGCCTTATGCTTAAACTCCTTTACTGTGTTAACCTCTACCACTTCAGCTGGAAGGCTATTCCATGCATCCACTACCCTCTCAGTAAAGTAATACTGCCTGATATTATTTTTAAACCTTTGTCCCTCTAATTTAAGACTATGTCCTCTTGTTGTGGAAGTTTTTCTTTTTTTAAATATAGTCTCCTCCTTTACTGTGTTGATTTCCTTTATATATTTAAAAGTTTCTATCATATCCCCCCTGTCTCGTCTTTCCTCCAAGTTATACATGTTAAGATCCTTTAACCTTTCCTGGTAAGTTTTATCCCGCAATCCATGAACCAGTTTAGTAGCCCTTCTCTGAACCCTCTTTAAGGTATCAATATCCTTCTGAAGATACGGTCTCCAGTACTGTGTACAATACTCCAAGTGAGGTCTCACCAGTGTTCTGTACAATGGCATGAGCACCCTCTTTCCACTGCTAATACCTCTCCCTATACAACCAAGCATTCTGCTAGCATTTCCTGCTGCTCTATTACATTGTCTGCCTACCTTTAAGTCATCAGAGATGCTTTGTTTATGTAGGTGACATATCAATTTGGGATTCCTGTGGTAGATCTGCAATTCTGGAATGGGGGCTTTTTGTTTATAATTTTTTTTTTTTTTTTGCCTAAAAATTAAATTCACTTTGAATTCCCAACATTTCACGTGTTAGTTTGTAACCTTTAAATTGCCTACAATGTTCACTTTGAGTAACCCTCTTAGATTTTTATTTTTTATTTTTTTTAACTCTGAATACATTATTGTACAGCAATATGAACAAGCGTGAAGAGGAAAAACAAACTGCACTATGGGTTGCTATTCCTTTTTTTTCTTTTCTTTTTATTTCGCCATTGTTTACATTTTTGTGCTTTGTCCATTTATACTCAATTGTACACAGATTTGCACAGCTGCCAGTTTACATTTACACGCTCTTCTTTGCAGGTATTCCTTGTTTGCAGTAGTTAATCACCAGGGAACCTTGGAAAGTGGGCATTACACAAGCTTTATTCGGCAACACAAGGACCAGTGGTTCAAATGCGATGATGCTATTATCACTAAGGCTAGCATTAAAGATGTACTAGACAGCGAAGGGTGAGTTCATATTTTTTTTTTTTTTTTTAAATCTGCATTGCAAGGTCATTTGGTCTGGTTTTATTTTCATATTTAGTCAAATAACATTTTAGACACCATAACAACTTTAAAACAGTTCTTGCATAACCACTAAGCCCTGCGTGCTGCACATCAGGTGGGTGCCATGACTGCTACCCACCCTTGTAGGCCACGCAACATTAAGGAGTGTGGAGGCGCAGGACTCTGCTTGTCTGCGCCCCCCATGGTATTTTGAGCAGTAGCAGATGTGCGTCACCGTGGCGGAAGAGCCTTGAGACTGGAGCAGCAAGCTAATTTTGTGGGGGTTTTTTTGTTTTGTTTTTTTTTCAAATGGATATTACTGGCAGGGGCAGAGCTTTTTTTTGTGAAGAGGGGGGAGTATGAGTTTTGTGAGGAAGAGTGGGGCCAGTGGGTTTTGTTTAGAAGGCTGGGCAGGTTTTTTTTTTTTTTTCTTGTTTACTGGGTGTCTTTTGCATTTAAAAAGCATATGGGGGGGCTGTGGCAAACACGTGATTCGCCCTGGTGCCAAATGTTCTAGCCTGCAGGTGTTTGGATTTTGGTGAGTTTTTTTTTTTTTCTCCCCATTCTATACATATGGGGGTAACTTATTAACCCATAGTTTCTCTTAAAATCCCTGCATGTTATTTGGTAGGACCATTTTTTTGTGTTTCTATGTGGAAGCTTTGTTTTGCAGAGATTTGGGCAGTTTTTGATTATTTACTCCAGGTTGTCTACCTGTCATTTGTGGATTCCAACTGTAAAATAATGCCACAGATTCCTAATTGGTTGAGGTTGGAATTTTGATTCCAGAAAGGTGTTATATTTTTTTTTTTTTTTCCCCCATACTGGAGTTCTGCTTTTTGTTTTAAGTAGTCTGAAATATTTTCAGTAAATGCTGATGAAAAGAATTCCATAGCTTCATAGTGCCACCACATTTCATGTGGATGGTTTTGATATGCTTGCTGTTGATTTGAGGCAAGCCCTTTGCACTTGGAGTTTTGGCCAAAAAAATAAATACCTTTTTTACTTATTTGTAACATTGCACAGTATTACAGAGCGGGCTATAAGAACAAATTATGATTTTTCACTGTAACTTTTGTGAATCTTTGCAATGTTGATTGCTACAATTTTTTTCTTTCTTTGCAGGTATTTGCTTTTCTATCACAAGCAATTTCTGGAATATGAATAACTGTCAAAATTATGTCTGGCGTATGTGTAAAGAAAAAAAAAATACAAACAATACAAGCCTTCTGTGAAAACACACAAGCCTACCTGAAATGTACACACAAGGCAGACATTAGACCAGAGCTATGCCGATATCACACCTGTCCATGCTGATTCTTGAACTGGTGAAGGAACACTTCAGGCCAAGGCGTAAAATACATGGGAGCCAGCGAACAAGATGGACCAGGCCAGTGGATACTCACTCTGGCACTAAACATCTCTCGTGCTTCTGGGAATATGTGTAGGAAGCAATGGAGGGTGGGAGGGGGGGGTGCAAGGGCTTGAGAGAGATCATATATTTGAATACTATCACAAACGCAACTTCTCTATTTGAGCTGCATCTGACCAATCTTAGGACAGTTCTAAGAATGAACCAAGGGAAGCCAAGCCCATGATTCCATGCATATGGAACTGAAATATTTTGGTGGGGAAAAGGCAGCCAGGTTGGTATCTACAAAGCAAGGATGAAAAGATAAAGACTCTGCAAGTATCTTTTTGTGAGTTTTAGTTATAAAAAAATAAATTCAGTATGAAAACTATTAAGCTATCCGTGTTTCTCAGCCAGCATTACAAAATCCTGGATTGTGGACTGAATCTGCAGATACTGAGACTGGTTTTCAGTATAAATGTTATAATTTGGACTGCCCCTTGAAACTGGGACATTTATTTGTTTGTTTGTTTTTTGTTTTTTTTAAATTTGTGGGTTTTTTTTTTTTTCTTCTGTTCAGATTTGTTTTATTTTTGTCTGGATAGCAATTTATTTTGTTTTCTTTTCATGAAAATGAATCTAATGCAGTCATGAGTAAAGACAAAACAATTGAATTGGCATGATGTACTGTGCATCTGGTTGGCTTAATTTCAAGCATCTTGTTTGGGGAAACCTTGGTTTATAGTCTATGTAACAAAGTTATTTATAACCAATTACTCTTAGACTATTCTATTTAAACCCAGTTAATATTTAGCATACACTGCTTCTATCGAAAGTGTCATATAGTAAGCAATCTTATATAATATAATAACATTAATATAATAACAATCTCCTTTGAATGTCAAGCATGTTAAATTGAGGCATTTTTGACAGGCTTAACTTGCTTAAAGGTACACTAGGCACCAAAACCACTTTTAAGCAGTTTTGTGTATAGATCATGCCCCTGCAGGCTCACTGATTTAACTCATAAATGACAGAATTAAACACTTTGTTTATGCAGCCCTAGCCACACCTCCCTCCATGTGACTTACACAGCCATCTTAAACACTTTCTGTAAAAGGCATCTAATTTTTAAACTTCCTTCATTTAATTTTCTTAATTTAGTAGTTTTATTCACGGCTTTAATTGCATATCTATATCTATCTGATTGAAAATTAAACCTATTTTCATACAGGCTGTGTAAGTCACAGCCAGGTGAGGTGTGAGTAGGGCAACAGAAACAAAAGTGATGTAACTCCTAAATGGTAGAGAATTAAGCAGCGAAACTGCCGGGGCGAGATCTATATACCTAAACAGCTTAATTAAGCTAAAGTTGTTTTGATGCCTTTAACTTTCACAGGCTGTGCTCTCTCTGTGGTAACCTCTTATGCATTGACAAAAGTGAACTTTTGCTGCACCCCCTATCTTACAATTGCTTCTCATTCTTGGCAAAATGGGTTGTGCTAATCTTGTTTTGGACTTTTTTTTTTTTGTTTTTTTTTGTTTTTTTTTTACTGGCCACAGGGAGATGGAGTCTACTACATACTACAATTTAGTTCTATACAGTTTAAAGGGACAATGTCAAACTAAATTTGTAAAGCAGGAGATAACTTCTAAACTAACACTTTGCTGTAAGAGCTCAAGATTATCTCCTGCTTTACTAATTGTACTTTAACACACACAAGATGCTGTAGCAGGCAACTAACAGCAGGGAAATAGAAATTCTAAAACACACTGCAATAATAAAAGCTAAAAAAAATAATTAGACTTTTCAGAACATATGTAGGGAAGCTCCAAGAGACTCACCTAGTTTAGATGTGGCTAGAGTTGCATAAAGAAAGTGATGGATTCCTAAAATACAGATAATTGAGCAGTAAAAAGGAAGGGGCATGATCTAAAGTTTTGCTGCTTAATGTCCATTTAAGTTTGTCCAGCTGCTCACTGGCATTGTAATTGGCACTTAATACCAAAATCTGATACAATCTAAAGGTTTCTTTGTATCGCTAAGGAGGAGCTATTACAAGTTGAGGTTAAATAAAAAATTTTAGACACCTTATTTTGGTAAACTGAATACAACACACAAAGTGTGTGATTTTGTTTACATTGGTTGAATTGCTAACAAATATATGTCAGAGAGCAATTTCTCTACATTGCTTAATTCCTCCTAACTTTCCTAGTTAACCATGACCACATTACTGATGGGTAGCTCCTCTTCTCTCAGCAATCAGGACCAGAAATATAAATTTAATATAAATGTATTTATAGTAAATGTGTAAATATTGGTATATTAGTGTGTGTATATATAGATAAAGGCATCTCTTTTTCCACTCCCATCACCTGGGCATGATGTGAAATCTATACCAGGTGTTCCTTTTTGACTCACAATTTACCCAGCCTGGAGTTCAGAATCCAGTAAGTAAGCCTTGCTTGAGCACACGCTCCCTGGAGTCCTGCCTGTTGCCTTTTCTGGCTTTTTCCTTATTGTACTACTGTATTCTTGACCTGCATTGGTTTTTGGTTTTCTTAATCAATGTGCATGTCAGGTCATGGACTACCTACAAGATATCTTGCTTAAGTGGATTAAAGTTGCAAGTACCTTAATTCAGGTGGCCTCCTGGCGCTCGTGCGAATTGCAAGTCATTTCCTTAAACTTAACCGTCCAAAATAGAACTTCTGGTCTTCCCTCCCTCAAATGTTGCTACTCCCTTGTCTGTTTCGCTCCAAGTCAATGGTGCTACCATTCGCTCTCCCTCACAGGCTTTCATCCTAGATGTTCTCTTTGACTTCGAACTCTCCTTCACCCCTCATTTCCAATCACCAAATCCTGTCACTTCTATCTCAAAAACATAGCACACTTCCGCCCCTATTTAACGCCTGATACGGTTAAGGTACTTGTCCATGGTGCTGTCCTCTCTCATCCTGACTACTGTAATCCACTTCTTGTGGTCTTGCGTGTTCCCAGTTTGCCCCGTTAGTCTGTAACAGGGATCCCCAGATGTTGTAGAACTACAACTCCCATGCTGCTTTGTCATTCTAAAGGCATGCAAAGCATCATGAGAGTTTTAGTTCTATAACATCTGGGGATCCACCTTTTGGGCAGCCCTGGTCTATAATAAATGCGGCAGAGAGGCTAATCTTTCTGACCTACCACACCTTCCCTCGCTGTCAGTCTCTACATTGGCTTCTCATAAGATATAGGGCTCAATTTAAAATCCTGGAACTTGCTAACAAATCTGTACACAAGTAGGGGATAATCTGCTAAATCAATAATAAAAGAACATAATGTATAACTGTGTATATGTATAAACCATGAGTGTCAAATTCACAAATGGTAACTCACACTTTCACTGAAGTTAGAAAGTCTTTAGCATAAATTCCTTTTTTCAGCATAAATGCCTTTTCAGAATCAATTCTTCCATCTATATTCAATGCCTCATGAATTGGCTGAGCTGTATGTGCTCAGGAGAAAAGATGCAATAAAGTTGTAGTGCACATTTAGAAGTATAATAAAAATAAATTTAACTTACATCAAAGTATAAAACAATGGATATAGTCTGTCACCACCAGGGGTCCTATGCGTTTTGTGGACTTCAGTAACAAGTAATGATTGTTCACTTGTATCCTGTCATTACTTGTTACTGAAGTCCCTGAGTGAATTTTACACTCATATAGTTATACGCTATTTTCTTTTCTTATTGATTTAGCAGATTATCACCTACCTTTTTTTTTTTTGTATATATTCCATTGAAGACAAGAGGAAGTCTTCGGGGAAGCTCTACTCTGTTCAGGGAGGTTCTTTTCTGCTTACATTCTATTGAGCACTTATTGCACTGTGGTTTGTGTACACATAAATTGTCTTTGCAAATCTGTACACAATACTGCTCCTCACTAATACACAAATATGTCCCGTCTAGGTCTCTACGCTCTGCCAAAGACCTACGTCTAACCTCTGTTCGTACTCATACCTCTGATGCGCGTCTTAAAGACTTCTCTAGGACTGCACCATTCCTATGAAATACCCTTCCCCACTCTAACACTTTCACCTAGTCTCCACTCCACCAAAAAAAAAATCTTTGAAAACTTATCCCTTCAGGAAAGCTTAAGGGGGTGGGGATGGAAAGCTGTTTAGTTTACTGATTCCTTTCTTGCAACTGTCATAAAACACCTAAGCCCTCAGTGAATACTATCCTAGCACCCCTACCTTTACCTTTTGTCACTATACCCCCCTTCCTCTAGCATGTAAACTCATTGAGCAAGGCCTTTAATCCCTCTGTTCCTACAAATTTGTGTCTGTTAGGCCACACATTTTACTTCGCTGCAGAATATGTTGGCGCTTTATAAACCATAATAATGCAAGTGTGTCAGATTCAATTCTTCTATATGGTTATCAAGCATTTGGTAGACTGCAGATTGGTGAAGCTAGCAATGTATTGGAATATTATTTCAATTGTTTCCCCCATGTACATTTGTTTTATATTCTGATGTTATATACTCTATTTCCAGGTTCTCAAAACCTTAAGTGAGAATGCCTTAATGACCCTCCTCGTCCCCTATTTATGCAGAGACTGCATCAAAGTAGTGGCTCTAAAAGGTCAATCCCTCTAATTCTAACATGTCAAAATTAATAAAAGAAGCAGTATTACAGAGTATTGTGCAAGCCACTAAATGTTTACACAAATACCGCATAGCCATCATAATATACCAGAGGAAGTAGGAGGACTTCGGTGCCAAGAGTCCAGTTTGAGTCCCAATCTGCCACTAGAGGAAGTGGTTGGTTAAAATGCTACTGTTGATGCTGCAATTATCTGCATATAACAGAGAATCATATTTCTTGAGGATATCTGCCTCATTTAACCTAATGGATATAACCCAACTAATGATTATTCGAACACTGGAGCAGTAGCTCTTATGGCAGGTTCCAGGGCAACCAAGATTTGACTTCAGAACCTGGTAGATGTAGACAAGTGAATCCACATTCAATCCCTAACTGAGATTACATTGGCAAATGATTTTGTCACTGAAGAAGCAGCTGACCTCGTATGAGCCTCTGAAATTTTTTTTTTTTTTTTTAAAGGTAATCTTTTTTTATTTGGGAAGTATTTAGCGGTCATCTAAAAGAGCAATGATGGCAGTAAATATCTCCCTCAAGATAGAAGGGTAGGAAGACATTGGACATTTTATCACTTTCAGAGAAAGCTGTTGCTATCGTTCTGGTAGAGAATATACTAGGTATGCTTCTTGGAAGAGTCTGGTCCCTTCATAATTTAAAAGCCTGATTTCTCACAGTTCTTAATCACAAATACAGGCATGAATTCAAAGACAACAGGAGAAAGTTCTGTTTCCTGCCATCATCCCTTCCACAATACAAAGCAAAATAGACTTGCAGTTCACAAATCGTAATGGCAAAGTTTCCAACAAAACAACTTAAAGGCCTGTACTCATGGTCCGTTCTGGATCTTCTACCTTTCAATGAATTAATCAATGTAAGAATGGACTATGGAGTTTCTGGCCTCTTATTCATGTCATTAATCAAAATTGCCTAGTATCTGTGGACATTCCCATTTGTCCCTGAATATCATTGATTCTTTCACTTCTGAATAGCAGCCAATTATTTTGTTTAAAGGTAATGACCTTCAGGTTAAGCACATCTCGCCGAACTTTAAAATAACTGCTTTTTACTGTTCCCAGGTTACCAAACCCATAAATCGGATAACAGACTTAGCCTTACTAAGGGAAAAATGTCATTTCAGTGCATCATTATTTGGATGGCATTAAATAGGGCACCAGGTCTTCTCTCTGTTATTAATTCTTAGATGTTGCCTGGGAGATGAAAAGTTTCAGCCCATCATTGAGAGATCGAACTGGACTACAGAACAGCAGTCGTCTATATCAGCCATCAGAAAGGCACGAAGAGTCTGCAGATACAAGATTTGGAATCTCACATGGAAGATAACCCTTGAAGGATTTCCAGAGACCACACCATCAGTCTCTCAGGAAGGGGGGGACGATGGATTACCTGAGCAGACAAAGCATAGGAAATCACAAGTAATCACATGTCCTCCAGCAAGAACTGCAAGCTCTAATGATGAGGTTCAATCCAAACGTCATGGCCAAAAATGCCTTGGCAAACAAAGATTAAATCTAGTGTAGGTTGTTTTGGTGTTTTTTCCCCATCTTTTACCAATTCCCCTGACTCCAAGATTTTCAGAAAGTTTAAACTCTAATTGCAATCTTTGCCCTTTTGGTGACGACAGCCTTGATTTCCCATGCAATGGTGAATTGTGATGTAACCTCCATGGGAATTACCCATGAATCCTCTTCTCTCAAGGTCCAGTCCTATGTCCTCGCCTATCTCAAATTACATCTTGGGAACTGCGCAAAGCTTTTTAAAGGGACACTGTAGGCACCCAGACCACTTCCGCCCAGTGAAGTTGTCTGGGTGCCAACTCCCACCACCCTTAACCCTGCAAGTGTAATTATTGCAGTTTTTATAAACTGCAATAATTACCTTGCAGGGTTAAGTCCTCCTCTAGTGGGACTTCTGGCTTCTTAGATGATTTTTTGTTGTCTAAACGACGCTGGATGTCCTCACGCTATGCGGTGGGGAGAGGAGCGGTGAGCGGAGCCTGACCAAGAGCCGAGGGACATCGGTGCTGGATTCAGGCAAGTATCTGAAGGGGTTTTTAACCCCTTTAACGAAGTGGGGAGGGGGCACTCCAGGATTCTGCAGTGCCAGGAAACATGTTTGTTGTCCTGGCACTAAAGAATCCCTTTAACATCCAAAGTCTTTCCTATAACTGTCACTGATACCTTGATGCAGTCCTGAAAGAAGTCTGTCTATATATATATATATATATATATATATATATATATATATATATATATATTACTGCATTTGGTCTACCTTTGAAGAGTATGACATGCAGTCTGAAAGGGTTGATGCTGATTCATTGTCAGTGAAAGTCATCCTTAAATCCTTACAGCCAAGTCAGGAAAGGAATTGGCATTCAGGTGTTCACCCTCTCAGATTAAAAAAAAATGGGCATTGCATCCACATGTAGTATGACTGGTAATAGTGCCTTACAGGGCCTCCTTTTTGACTTCTACACTTCTAATTCAAAAGACCTCATTCCTCGTAGCCATCACATCAGCAAGACACATGTCAGAAATTCAAGTATTTCTAGTACACTTTCTGCCAAAACTCTACAGTGGTTCTATGACATGTGGAGGAGCTCCTGCCTACATTTTTCTTTGTATCCTTTGAATCAAGAAATTATACCTTCTTTCTGAATTGTACCTTATAATGAAGATGAACATTGCTGCCACATTTTGGATCTAGTTAATTGTCTGTGTGTTTAGAGTGACAGAACTTAATATTGGAGAAAAACTTCTGATCTTTTATACTACCTTTTTTAAGCTCAAGGCTAAGAGATCCAGTGGAGCGCTAATATTAAACACTTACCCTAAAATAGGGGAATAGTTTATAAGTGAAATAGGTAAAAGAGAAAACAAATTGACAAAATATGGTGCAGTATATCTGGACAACTGGAGTGGTTAAGAAGATATATATATATATATATATATATATATGTATATATATATATATATATAACACACTCACATGGCATAGAGCCTAGGGAGGATAGGCTCAGGTCACAATCGCAGGGTTATTTATAGATAATACCAGACTTCTTCTATATGGAGACATGCTCAGGAGAAAAAAAAGTATTATCCTCACTGCATAAATATTCATTAAAATATTGCAGATAACTGCTCACCTTTTAGAGAGCCAAAAAAGCTGGGCTCTTAGTGTCATGGGCACTGTGCCTTTAAGAAGGCACAACTCTTCTTTAAAAGCAGGAGGTTGCAGGAACTCTCAGTGATTTGTGTAGATTAAAACAATTTATTCAAACCAAAATGATTAAAAGTAAATACAAATAGACCAAATACGATGCGGTAGTAGTCCCAAAGAGTGTCCTAATCGCCCGAGACGCGTTTCACCTTGTTCAAAGGCTTTTTCACTCTGATGCCTGCTTCTCATTTGTTTCCTGTATATATACCAGGAGATCTTTCTGTGATTGGTCCTCGTGCCCTGTAATCAACCAATCGACCGGCCGGTATGCGGGGGGGTG